ATAAACAGGTCGATCTTTTACCAAACCAAATCGATTTTTTTTCGAGCCAAATAATTCAACTTTTTATAAAGCAGATCGAATTTATCCCGAATCGGATTAACTACTTCAAAATAAAATTGAACTTATTCCCAAGCAAATTGAACTATTCCTAAAACAGATTGACCTTTTTCTTAAACAAATCGATCTTTTACAAAAACAAAATGACCTTTTTTTCTAAATCAATTCGTTTTATCCTAGATTTTCCTGAAACAAATTAACCTTAATCGTAAATAAATCTAATTTTCTTAAAACAGTTCGACCTTTTTCGTAAACAATCTTTCATTTCCTAAAACATATTTACATTTTTCCTAAATATATCGAACTTTTACTTAAACAAATTAACCTTTTTCCGTAAATAAATCTAATTTTCTTCAAACAAATCGACCTTTTTCGTAAACAAATCTATCATTGAATGAATCAACACGTCTTAGCATTACTGTCCACTTTCCAAGTCGATAAAATATTAGAAATGGATAAGGCCGAATGGTTAATGTGCACTGAAGGCACACTTCAGCCTCCCCTGCTACCAGTCGTCCTTCACGCTTAAATCTAAGCCCTTGGGTTTTGTTTTTTCTCTCGAAGGCCTGGTTAAAGTTCAATGCATGTCTGGAAACGGAGAGGGGGTGGTCCGCACATGCATCTCGATCGGATAACAAGAACACTTTACAACCAATTAAAATTTAGAGGGAAAAACTTTAACCCTTGCTTTGTGGACTGCTTATAAAAACAATTGAAAATAGTAAAAGTTCAGTTATGTTTTGGTACTTTTAATTTATGGTTTTAATTAATAGAAAAAAATATAATCATGATCGTCATGATTTAAAATTAAGTGAAAAAGCAATGTTCGAGTACTACCAATCGAAACCCTCAAGAAAGTCGTCATACTCATCATAATCCGTTGTGATGAATTAGAATAAAAATGAATTAGAAAAAAAGCTTAATGTTTCAATTTAAAAATTTATTCGTAATTAGTATGAATCTAATTCTCTCGCTGCGAAAAAAAAACTTCGTTTCCAAGCAGAGGCATATCAGTTTCATTAAAATTCTGATGATTGTGGATATCAAATTCTGCTAAATCACGAAAACGCCGCAAGGATGGAATATCAACTAACTACATTGCCACTTCAAAGAATTTAAATGTAATCTGTATAAATTAACAGGGATGGATAGCAAATAGGCGAAGCTAGTTAATAACAGGTTGTAAATTATTCCATGTGGTTTACTTCATTGAAATAATTATTGTAGGCATTTTTTACACAACCGCATTTAATTTTATTTTCTTCGCGGATCGAATTTCTGCTGGTAAAAAAGCCTTGTGGGAGTTTTAACGTATATTTGTTTCGCGAGGAATGCAATATATTCTTGTTTTACATTATGTCACATAAATATATACACATAACACATAGTAATTAAAAAACAGCACAACAAATATAAACTAAAAACAAATTAAAAACAACATAAAAACCTTTCTTTAAAATAAAACTAGCCAACATTTCAAAATCTGTTTGCAAATATCTATTAGGTTTGGAAAAATAATTAGCAATTTCCGAGGAAAAATGGATGAGTGGATTCAAATTGTGTTGATTAACTTTACGCTATAAATGCTTTAAAGGGATTACATAATTAAACCCAGCATTAAAAGCTGCCAGTGCATTTTTCCTTCAGATCAAATCTTCATTGTAAGAAAAAATATTTTTGTTTATAATCGATGTCTTAAGCTAAGAGATCACAGCTAAAGTAAATAAAAAATTTATTTCCTTAAAATTATTATATTGACTCTGTTTCTATTGATACTATTATCTTCTGCAAAACTGTTTAGTGTAAACAAAAATATGATAACTCTACGGATTTTACACCTCCCCAAAATTTTTAACTTGTAATATAAACTATTAGTAAATTAGACAATTCGTTTTTCGGCAGTTATTCGTACTTTTGGGGTAAAAAAATATTATCTGTAAATAATATCGTGAGATAAACAACTTCAAATGAAGACTTAGAAAGAACGAGAAAAGCAAACAGCTGGAGAAAAAATACAAGTACACAAACGAAAACAATTTTTAATATTTTAATGCCAATTAATTTTTAGTCGGTAAACTCATATAAATTAAATTTGTAAATAAGATACTCTTCAAAACCTAATGTCACTGTTTCTGTTGATGCTATTGTTTAATGTTCCCAGCAATATCAAAATCAGGGGTTTTAACGACACAATGTTGAAATGAATGTTGAATTGAAACTATTGATATATTAAACAATTTAATTTTGAGGAATTTTTGTTTTTGTAATCAAAATCTATCATCTGTAATATGGTGACATACATAAAGAGTAAATAGTCAGGGGAAGCCCGGAAAAACAAAAGCCATCAGCAAAGTATTTACAATTGAACAAATGAAAACATTTTTAAAGCAAATGGGTCATTTTTGAAGCTGTGGGTATCAAAATTGATTTAGCTGTCTTGTTTAGCGTTTAATGTTGTAATGTTTTTAATATCAGTAGCCTCAACAGTTTAGGCGTTCACACGGCACTCATCACTGTAAGGTAAAGGTCCGGGTTCGAACATATTTACAAATGGACTTTTTTCAAAAACACCCCGTGGCATATATAACCTGGTAGGTGAAATACCCTCGTAAAAAAAAGAAAAAAAAAACAAAATCAAATGGGGGCCAAGATAAAAATCCGACCTGCCGCTTTTACATCTGGACGTAACAGAACGACGCAACGGCAGGACGAATCCGCCGTCACCGTTTTCGTCAAGGTTCGATAAAAGTAAAGGCAGAGAAATTCGTTACAGTCCTCGTTTTTTTTTTTTTTCAGCAAAGCAATACTAATCGAGTGTTGTATAATCTATTATGAGTAACATTTCCAATTGTTTTCTTCGTTGGTTGTAGGTGTTCTTAAAATATTGGATAGAATGTTGAACTGTAAATAACCCGTGTAGATAAAAAATTTATTGCCAGCCCAGCATATATATTTTAGTTACACTAGTTGTTTATAGTTCAAAATAATGAGTATTTTTGATAAACAAGGGCGTTAAACATTCAGATCAAGACCTGGAAGAAGGTATCAAGCTAAAAGACAGCTCACATATAAAAATATTTTCATTGCACATTTATCATATTTTAGGCGATTGTCAAAATTGATCTATTGTTCCTAATATTTCATTTCATTTTTAATAATCATCAGATGAAATGGCTGCCACAATAAAAGTTCGTCCGGCTGCTTTTACATTTGGAGGTAGCAGAACAAGAAAAATGTAACAAAGACCTGCATAGAACGTCAAAAGACAAAATGCTTGATCAAAAATACAGCACACAAATTAAAAACAATTTTTACAGCAAAACAATCAATTCTGACAGGTTGAAGAAATTTATTTAATCTGCTTAACTGACGTTTAATGTTTCCAAACCATAATATCAAATGGCTGCAAGAATAAAAGTCCGTCCGGTTGCTTTTACTTCTGGACGTAACAGAACGACGCAAAAACGGTCAAATCAGCAGTCACAGACTTAGGCAGGGTTCGACAAAGTGAATGTAGAGAAATTTGTGTTTTTTATGATTTTTTTTCGACAAAACTGATTTGTATTTTGATCTGTTTTCTTCGTTGTTTACAGTTCAAAATTATGTGCAATTTCAGGAGATACACGGGCTCTAAACTTACATCCAAAGACCTGCAAAGAACGTCAAAGCTGAAGGTTTAATGTTTTCAAACCATAATATCAATTGGCTGCCAGAATAAAGTCCGTCGGGTTGCTTTTACTTCTGGGCGTAACAGAACGACGCAACAACAGGACGAAGTCACAGACTTCCACATGGTTCGATAAAAGTAAAAAGGTAGAGAAATTTGTGTTTTTTTATGATTCTTTTTCGACAAAACGCTACAAATCGAATCTAGCACAAAATATTATAAGTAATTTGTATTTCGATCTGGTTTCTTCGTTGATTATAGTTTAAAATTATTTGTAATTTCAGGAGATACACAGGAGTAAAACTTTCAGCCAAAAACCTGGAAAGAACGTAAAAAGCCAAAAGACGACCAAAAAAGTACGGTACGCAAATAAAAACCAATTTGATTGAAAATCAGTAATTTTTGACGCGGTGGATGTCAAAATAGATTTTTGTTTTAATTGACGTTTAATGTCGATTTTTTAAAACTAGAGATCAAATGGCAATCCGTCCGGTTGCTCTTACATCTGGACGCAACGGGCAAACAAATCCGTTGTCACCGACTTCGCCAGGTTTGACAATAGTTAAGGCAGGTAATTGTTACACTTGGGGTTTTTATTGAGGTCTTAGCGATGAAAAAGTGGATATTTAGGCCCAAATATAGGATATATTCTCTAAATATCTACTTTTACATCGCTAAAACCTCATGAAAATGCACTAAGTATAACAAAATTTAATTACTGCTTAATTCGTTAAGGTCCGCGCTTTTCAGACAAAGCGGAAAAAAGTCCTGGATAATCGGCATTTGTAAAAACCAGTGTCGATGTTAAAAATAACCATCCTTGCGACATGAATCGTCGGAAAATCCGGACAAGCTGTCATCGAGTACGTTTCGCGATGTATTACATTTAGAGTCTACAGTTGACAAAATTATTAAACTGGATTCGTTTTAAGGAGAGATCCAAAGGCGTTTCAATCAGAGACAAATACGAATCTGCATTCTTTCCATTTGACCACGAGGTCAAGGATTACAAACTGCCCTTATCTTATCGGAAGAAGATAAATTAATGGGCCCAATTGATGATTGAAGGGTTTTAATTGGGGAAAAAAAGAAAGCAGGCTGAATGTTTTCCGTTCTCCATCTAAGTCAGCGTGAGAATTGCGGGAAAAACAAGAGGGCTTGTTTTGAAAGGGGGCGAACCTTTACGTAAAACAACAAAGTTCGCCGCTTTGGACGCTGAAGGAAGAAAAACATGTTTTTTAACTCTAAAAATAAAAGAAGAAAACTACAATCTTACCTTTACCCCGAGTCCTAATTTTCCGTCTTCATATCCCAGAGGAATCCCGCGGCACACAACTTTCACAAGACACAAAGAATTTTCTTTTGACATCTTTCGTCTCTCATTTTAATCCGTCGACCGGGAACGAAGCTGGTACGAATGCTTGTCGAGGGAACCCGTGAGCTTTGACGTTTATAATTAGCTTTGATGCGAGAAAGACGTCGTTTCGGCCCCTCGCGCACAACCACTTATCTGCATTTACAGTTATGAAAGGTTTGCTTGCCCCGTTCTCGGTCCCCCGACAGGCTTGCCAACGGGGCACCCACGAATTGCCCTTTTTTAACTTATATTCTTTGACTAATTTTTCCTAGACTTTTCTTTACACGAATAATTTTCATTCTGCCAGATGAAATGGAAATTTTGGTCAATTTTTTCATTTATTTTTCACTTAATATCGTCAAATGGAGATAATTGGCTGGGGGCGCACCCTGCCGATGACCTTTCAAAACGCAATGCTTTTCTTTCCTTCTTAATTTTGAATTCAAATAACAATATGACAGAACTAATAATAATATATTAACCCCAATAAGGCAAAAAAAATGGGATTTTCAAATGGCCTAACACTACTGTCCCGGGTTATGAGGTAATTACAAGTAACGAGGCAGCAGAACATGCGAAAAAAGAAACCTACGAACCCACATGCCCAATTCCATATTGTGGAATAAACTATACCATTAAGTATGTACATGGAATATCAATATATATATAAGTTATGTTATCCATAATTTATATATTGTAAAAGACTGCTCACAAAACCAACCGGGTGGGCAAAAGAGGAAATCCTACTTAACAAAATGGAATTAGAAACTACTGGCATATTTATAGAACATGCTGCGTCAATTTTTATTATTAGTTTATTAATTTTAATTTGTTTAAATTATTTAATAAAAAGATCTAATAATTAATCACTACTTTAGAATTATTTACTTCCAATACTTATCAACAATGTTTAGTTGTGTAATTGATGATATTTAAATAAAATTGTGTTTTAATTCATGATAATAGATGATATTCACCTAGGCATTGATGATAATAAGTGTACTATTATTGTGTGGTGTTAATGACCATTAGCCATTGATTATTTGGAGATCGTGAGGTGCGGTCTGGTGTAACGTAGGTTTTAGAAAAACATTTTCTTTATCATGCCAACGTTTCGATCTTTATTTAGATCATCTTCAGGGCTCAAAGTGTTTGGTTTCCGTGTAGATGTGTCATTCTTGTGTGTCGAGTTGAGACTCTCAACACAAGAACAGTTTTTCGCACTTTCAAAATTGAGCGCCAATAATAACCAGCTTCTCATAGAAATGTCAAGTTGGCCGTGGATCGGCGCCATCGGCAGGTCACTCTAATAAATTCATGTCACCAGAAGTTCTTGTAACTCTTTTTAACTTGATGATGAGCTTTAAGCTTGAAATCGGTTCGTCGACAACAACAAACTGTGAGTAGAAACTTCAAACTTCATTTTAAAAAATTAGCATTAATACCTTTAAATATTTAGAAATAATTATGGACAGATAATTTACCTTTACTGAACATATCAATATGATTTTCAACAAAAGTCTAAAAGTCAAGGGTTAATAATAATAATTTGTAAGAATGTGCATTTAATTTTTCATATTGTATCTATACCGTTTACATAGAATAATTTTAAGAAACGCATGTATTATTCCAATTCCAGAGTCTTAGTGTAGCATTTATTAGTAACCCCCCCCCCAGAAACTATACTATAGGCTATTATGGATTATGCAAAAGAAAAATATATTGCCCTTAGAGTTCAGTTTTCATAAAGTTACATAAAACTCAAGTTACGTAAATTTTCAGTTTTTTCACTCGGGAAACCAACGAATCAATATGTAAATTGAATCTCAAGTTTAAGACAAATTAAATCTGATTGACCGAATAACATTTTTCAATTAATTAATCTTTATATAGGGTATTGGTTGAGATAAAAAATCAGTGTCACGTGCAGGATTCAGACCCACGACCCTCGGGTAGCCGGGGTTCGAATCCCGCTCATGTCACTAATTTTTTAAGTCTACTAATCTAATTAATTTAAGACCACTGTCACACCAAGATATCTAACACTGTAAGCAAAAGGGATAAGCAAGCAAAAATAGTCATCATTATCATCACAACTGTGAAAAATAAATTTTAAATTATTAGTATTTATTATCTTTTTTAATGGGGGGTTGCTAGAGTTCTTCAGTTAGAAACAGCCACATTCGATCTTGCTCTGTTCAAAAAGTCGTGTAACAGTGGTTTAGATAAATCGTTTTAAATCGAAAATCACATACAAGAGGTGTGAATAAAATGCTGAAAGTAACTTAAGTTCATGTGGACTGTGCTGATTGACGTTATCGTCAGGTTTAATTACTCAAGTTATTTGTTATCTTTTTCAATACAAAGTGTAGTACATTACATTTTTTTAGTGTTTGAAAGTAGAAAGTTGAGTTTAGCCAAAAATTAATCATTTTCACATCTTTAATTATACTTTTAGTTAAATTATGACCTGAAAATGATAAATATCATTTGCATAACTAAATATTTTTCCCGAGTATTTAATTTTCAAAATATCATTAATATACAAAAAAAAAAAAAATTGGGCCTTAGATTGTACCTCGTGGTACTTCTGATTCAACACGTAAAGAAGAATTGTAAACTGTTCCAACCTTTGTGACTGATAAATATGATTTCAAGAGGGTTTATCCAGGAGGACTATGGGGAAAACTAGGAGGGTTAATGCTAAGGAAAAAATCTAATCAAGCAGCAGCCATCTGTCTTAATTTGATAATATCCAAGTTGCGTTTACAAAATTGTTTTAAGTCAAGTCATTGGATGGAAGCTTGTGAAATCCTGAGATCAGCAACAAACTAAAATGAACAAAATTCCAACATGTAGAATAATTATTAGATTTCGTTTTGAAGGTGGTATGATGAACCTGTAATTTGACCTTATCGATCATCTTGGTCTGCCTCTCACTGGGATGGCCTGTGCATTTTGCTGTCTTCAGTGCGTCCAGGCCAACCCAGCCAGGATAGGCAGAGTAAGATGATTGAAAAGGATTGAATTGCATTGCAGAATATGTTTTTCCAGAAAATTCCAAATGTTCCCAGGTATTTTGGATACCATTGTCTCAAGGAAATTTGGTATACTGGGGGACCACAGTGGTCTAGTGGTTAGGGCATCTGACTCATATTGGCCACACTACCGGTCCTTTGTTCAAATTCTGGCACACACCACAGATTTTTAATCTAGTATAAAAGAAGTATTGTAATTTGGTTTGACCCTTCGTCTATGACACCCACCTTCCCCCCACAGGTGACAGCAATTATTTTACTTTACTTTTACTTTGACATACAGTTCTAGAAATTCAATGCTTCCAGGCCTTCAATCAGGTTTCCGTCCCCAAAAATCTTTTGAAAGCAACATGAATATAATATTCAGAGAGGCAAATCAGCAGGCAGTGATACCAAAATCAACCAGGTGTTTGAAAGGAGTAAAAAAATTAAATTATTCATCTTTGTTTATCTAGAGTCTGTAAGCAAGCAGCACATTTGAAATTTGAATGTAAAATTCAATCTCAAAATAGTCACTTGAAATGTTAGGTCATTTTCATACATTTTAGTTTTTCTTATGTTGGCTTGTTTTTATAGAGTAGTAAGTTAAAATTTTGTAGTCTGGCTAAAATGTCAGTTGGAACAAAAAAGAAAAGAAAAAACATTGGTTTGTACTTGCAATTTATTATATTATCATTCCCTGCTTATAATCACATCAAATTTAACAACAGATCCTCTCTCTCTTTCTCTCTTACAACATTGTAGTAATATATATAATATTTTTGGTATATATTTATTTATATTAACTTCTAATACAATAATTTTTGTTATGATTAGCATAAATTTGTGTTACAACATCGATATACACAAAAATAGAATTTTTGGTAAAGCTTTGGTTTTGACTAAAATAATTAGGCATAGCAGTAGTGAAGAATAACAATCTAAATCTAAATATAAATGTGCAAGACAGTAAATTTTTCCTTGATATTTGTTTTAAACATTTAAATGAAGGTGCCTTGTAGTAATTTTTTAAATTTTTTTGGCACATTTCCTAATAAACACACAACTGACAACAGGAAAGGGTAGAAGATATAATGACACCAATAAAGGATTTATTATTAATTTTTTTTGTATTTTTTCCATTATTATTTTTCATAAAACATTATCCTATTTTGATAATCCAGGACATGTTTTGTCGCTTTGCTAATCTTGACAATACGACAAAATACGGCCGTAAGTGCTGACTTTGTTTTCCTCAGCCTCGACACATCTAGAGGCATAAATTGTATTGACCATAGTCACGGCAAGGAGTGAAGAACTGCGGGATGTTGTCATCATTCGCACGGCATTTTGAACAAAGTCATCTTTCCTTCACTGGCCATATCAACACCCGTGGAACTTATCAACTCCCAGAATGCCTGCACGAAACTCAGGTACAGTGACTCCGTTACCGTCAAGTCCACAATTTTTTCATTTGTTATAATTTAGTTCCCATACAATCCATGAAAAAACAAAAGGCTCCCTTCAGTCTTTGATTTCTCCTGTATTTTAATTTTCTTACTCTTCTTTTTTTAATCATTATTATTGAAACAAATTGAAAACACTGTTTTTTTTTTATTTATTGAAATAATAACCATGGATTTTTTAAATAAATAATTTTTTAGGACTATATCTGTGTTTCGATAGGCATTTTATTTTTTTGAATCTGTTTTAGATTGTTAATTATTTTTTTTGTTTAATATCATGAGCGATAACTTTTCATATTCTTCTGTATCAGTCCTTCTCATATTACAAAAAATAAATAAACAAATAAAAAATTAAAAAATAGATAAAAAAATGAACAAATAGAAGCGAACTTGAAGCACCATTTGTTTAGCCCCATCATTCTCACAAACCTAATTAATTGACCTCCCACTTGTCCAAAATTTTATTTTAAAATATCCTTAAAACTAAGACCTGAAGTTCTACAATATTATTAAAACACTTACATACTGTGCAACATTGATAAACATTTAAAACAATTCTAACATAAAAACAACCTGCTGTGCATAAGCATAAACATAAACACATTATGTAACTTTCAATAAAGAGAGCAAAACAAAATTTCAAAAATATATTTTGACGATTTTCTATATTTGCTAAAATGTCACTCTAATGTTTCTAAAAAATAGAATAGGAAATCCTTTATCTTTTGAGACAGAAAAAATATATATTTATTTAGTTTTGAATTAAACAGGAAGATTTCATTTTTTCCATATATATTTAATTTATTATGTATCTCCTTCACAAACATTTTTACTGCATTATTCAAAATGTATTTAAAGAATGGCTTGTTTAAACATAGAACTACTTCATAAAACATATAATTATGATATTTTAATTTCCTTAAATACGAAATTTCTTATTTTCAAGTAGAACTATATATTTTTTTTTCAAACAGCGCTTTTACAATATGTAAGATATTGCGTATTAGGCCCCCTGACTGTATTCACGATTACTATGGCTCAACAGAAGATAAATAACTGATGCAACAAAAGTACATTTGGAACTTTCACAAACCGCATTTTATTTTTTCTTTGCTTTTCTTTTATTAAAAATAATAATGTCTTGTAACATCGTTTATTCAATGCCTCCACCAGATCACCCAAAATTTTTGTGTCACAGTACCAAAAATATTTGTTTTTTAAAGAACTAATGCAAAGATTGTCATGAATAAAAATGCCAACTCTGTTTTGAAAATAATTTTGGACGGCATTTCCTGACCCCCTGATGATTTACAAAAATATGTAAAACTATCAATGACTGCTGATTTTTTAAAAGTTAGGAAAAGTCCTAAATGTAATATTGCTACATCATTATTTTGTATTAAAAAAAAATAAAAATCATCCATAAATAACTGGCTTATAAAATCTTAACAAAATTTTAAAATGTCTGATTAGATGTTATTACTTTTTTATTTTCTGAATAAGAACATTTAAAAATAAATAAACCAATAAAATAAAATAGGATGAGATATTTTTCTCATGAGTGAATCTAAGTTACCAAATTTCTTGGGAGCGATATATGCTTGATTCAGTGTTCCTTTTTTCAATTAATCTACTGTTGTTGTAACACCTTGAGGATTGCCTGAACCTCATCAGCCACTGCGGTGAGAACAAACTGGAACTGCTCCTTTGTCGAGACTGTTCCAGCCCTCTGATCGCGGATGTGCTCGAGAGTGGCTGCTATGTCAATTTCCTTTGCACCTTTTGCAATTCGGTTCAATACCATGTCCAACAAACAATAAGCTCCACTCCGTCCAATGCCATCACTGCAAACATTTACATTTCAATTGTCTTACTGAAATGAACTGTATGGTCTAGCCTTTACCTGCAATGTACCACAATTGGGCAAGATCTTCCTCTGAATGATTTATTTACTTTTCTGAAATTGAAGTAAATATGAAGTGGTATCAACCAGTTATACGATTGCCGAAGTATTTTACCTTCTGAATTCAAGAAGTGACTTTGTCCCTGTTGGAACACCTCCTTCCGGCCAAGAAAGGAAATGGAACTGTGTCACTGTTCTTGTCTCGCCTGTTTTCAAATTTTTGAGATAGAAACTTCTCACGACATAGTCATCACACCACATGTACTCTCCGACTAGATGGACCTGAAAAACATCATTCGTATAAAAGTACAAAATTTAAAAAATCAAACAAGTACAAACCTCATAAATATGATAAATTTCAGAGCCATCCTCTGGCCAGTATCTATGGCAAAGTTGGGTTTCATTTACTTCGAGCCTTGTCAGCATGACGAGTACCACACATCCTTGCTCCCAGACCATCTGCCACAGATCTGGCACTGTATGAGGGAGTGGTCCTTGAGCTACAATGTATGCTGCATTCCTTGGATCGTGATCCGCCTAGAAAATGTTTTTATGATTAGAAAATGACAAAAATTGCTTTATAAATTGTATACTGACTATTGCTGAAGCATTGATGTAATCCGATTCAGTGATGTTGGACAATTCGTTTAGGACAACCCTAGCATGGTCATAAGGAAGAGCATGAGGATACCTATTTTTTTGTAGGTTTTCAGGCTGTAAAAAAATCCATTTTACAATCTGGTTTTTTAACAAAAATCATAAATATAAATTAAATTTACTCTCTGTGCTATTGTTGTTGCACATGGGTCAGCTTCATAAGCGCAAAGCGCTGTCCATTCCGAGTCCAGCCGTTCCTTGTTTTTCAAGTGTTCTTCCAAATAAGTCTGTAATTTAATTCAAAACAAAATAAAATATTGGCCTTTTTATTGTAAAAAAAAACTTACTAAAACTTGTTGGCCTGTTGAGACGTCCATGTTTGTCAATGCTGGTTCATCACTCCTGTTAAAGCATGAAGTTTGTAAATAATAATGTCAATGCAAAAATGTTTTTAAGCAGTCACCATGAAGAAGTACTCGATCTTGATGATGGGCTGTCTTTATCGCTTTCTTTTGATAGGCTGGTGATTCGTTGAGCTGGTGCAGGTGAGTCCTGTGCCTGTTGGGTTGTTTTAGTTGACATTCTTGCTCGACATAAGTCCTGAAATGGATAACAAACATAAACCAAAGATTATAAAGGATGTGGGCCAAAGTCGCGAGCTAGGAAAACCCTTGCAGTATAGCAGAATTTGTTTTACTTTTATTCCATATATTTGTTTTACTATAAGCATAACATTTTTAAACCTTGCACTCTTATTGTCTTGTAGTAAAGTGAATAATGCAATTAAATTATTTAATACTATAACCATTCTGTAGTATTTTGGCTGTTAATAATTTGTTTAGGTCTAAAAATTTCTATCATTGGATATTTCTCTCCTGTAGATTTTTCTTTTTCTTCCCTTTAGTGTTTTGCACCAATATATCATTTAACTGTAAACCCTTATACCATTTAATGCTACTCTGCAACTTATAGAAAATTGAATATGACCTGAGGCTTGCTAACTATTTATTTGAAGAATGAGTAGTGTAATTTTTTCATTTGTTGCTTCTTCTAAAGTTGAAAATTGAGAAATAAACTTTATTCTGGTACTTAAAGTCTCCTTGAATAATTAATTCTGAATACAGAGATTGAAGCCTGTTAAGGCTATACAAAGATGTACATTTATAAAAATATATAGATACAAAGTGACAAAAAAAAAAAAATAAAATAAAATAAAAAAAATAAACTAAAGGGGGAATTAAAAAACTTGGTGCCAAGTTGTAAAGAGAAAGGGAGAGAGAGAGATCTTGGATTAGAGTCCCCTAAGAATAACAATAACGTAACAAAATTTTACAAATCTGGGACTTAAATTAATTAAGGTTTGATGTTAACATAAAGTGAAATAAGTTGAACAAATCACAGAGTATAATAGTAGCAATAACAAGAATTTAGGAACAAGTAATAGTAATAAAGAATTCTCTTCTTGTGTGAATATAATTAGAAACTGTAAACTTAAAAGTTCAGAAAAGGAAGGTAACAAGCTTTCAAATGTAGTAAAAGCACCTAATACTATTACGGGTTATGTTGTCACTGTTTGGAGGGAGATGAGGAGTTGGCACAGGAAGAGAATTCCAGAGAGCTAGGAAGGACATCTCAAATGTGAAGGTTTTATGTCGAGGAATATATATATACTGGAGAAACGATCGTTTAAGAGAGTGGATAGAGGATTTGAATTGAAGTAGCTTAAAAATGTGGTCGACCAGAGTTTATGGATTGGTAAAAGAAGGAGCCTAGGAAATACTTTCTGTGGAAGGAGAGGTAAAGCCAGGATCGATATGAGTACAGGTGTGAGACTCTAGACTTTCGGGGGGTGCCGAAAATAAATCTGACACAACAATTCAGACGGTCTTCTTGTTCCTCCGAAAGTCCACCATAAGCGACACAACAGCAGTTGAAGAGGGGGAAAGTGAGGGAGGAAGCAAGGAGTTTACGAGTGGTGAAAGGTAGGAGTCAGGACCGACAGAATTGAATGAGGGATCCGATACAGCGTCGGGAAATTCGGGAAATGTGTGGTTTCCAGGCAAAGTTTTGGCCGAAGGTAACACCGATGTTTTTAAAAGTGGAGCAGAAGGAGATAGGCTGGTTGTTGAAGGTACAAGACACTAAAGACAAGAGATAATCAAAGAGACGATACTTTAACGAATACGGAAAGAGATGGGGCTCAGCGATAGAGTGAGGCAGGGAGTTCCATAGGCTTCAGGCATAGATGAGGAAGGAACGACTGAATACGTACTTCTCTGATTAGGAGGATAGATATGTATTTTTGTAAGGATGGACGTTTACAGAAAATACGAAGGTGAGGAGGAGAATGGGAGGATTACTAATAGAAGAAGAAGAAGCTAAGAAAGTAGTGTTTGAACCAAGCAAATAAAAATTGACCAAGGAAAGTTCAATGAGCACACCTATTGGCATTTCAGACTGCTCAAAACTTAGGCCATCAGACAATGTGGTAAGAATAAGTCCTCGTTCAATGAGATTGTATTCCAGGACAAAGGCGTGTGAAAAAATTGATCAGACGACTATGTCAGAAACTAACGCAGATCTATTAAACCTACGACGTGTGGGCTAGAATGATAGGATTGCTGACTGAACACTGCAGACTCGGAGTAGCAGAAACAAGCCTGGCAGATATTGCCATGAAGGAGAAAAAACAGCGAACCATATCCTCTATTTGGATGTCCTTTTGAGAAAACAGATTGTTGGAGTTTGTTGCTCCCGATTCTATTTGACTTGTTCATTTTGAAACCTCTTTAACTTCTATTTGCTCAAGATGGGAAGCTGTTCATTTTCCTACTAGCACCCATAAATTTTTCTTTCCTTTGATCCCTCGAATTTTCCTAAAATTCCTTCCTTTCCTTAAATAAGCTTGTACTTCACGACAGCATACATTCGCGTTTCAATCATTTGAGCTTACATTTTACTTTAGGAAATATCCAATTAAATACCAATACAATAAATCAATGCCTTTTGTACCTGATAGTGCTTGCTTGGTTCAGTGTCAGAAGTCATGCTTTTGAGCTTGTGCCCGTGCTTTCTAGTCAAGTAGAGAACGCCTCCAGACAACGCCAAAGCGGCCAGCACTCCACAGACGATGACAGTAACGATATAGACCTGGTGGTCAGGTCTGCCGTCCAGATGCACCACCGATGGTAGTTTAACCTGGAAGTAAAGCGATTGAACAATTTGTTTCGATTTTTTGTTCGGATGACTCACCTTATCGCCAATTCCAGTGGAAGTCACAATGACACCTGTTTCCCTACGAAGCTCGTCTTTAATTCCATCTATAAAATGACAACGGTGACATTTTGAAGTGCCGTATTTATTTTTTGTTTTAGTACATACCAATCCTTCTTGCTACCTCAGAAGCATTCAGTCCGAACTTGTTCGGTTCGTTAACCCTGAATGTCACTTCATTTCTGTCCACTCTACAGTTTAAACAAAAAGATTGAACACTGATCAACTGGTGTTCTCATAAAATTGTCATAAATCAGCTAAATGGTCTTTTAGCCAATGCTTTAAAATCAAATACCTTGTGAACTAATTATTATTTCCTTCCTTGGCTATGATCAATTGTGTTTGATGCCACGATCAAAAATCTATTGTGAGCATTCATTATACATCCAAATGTTCCTAACATTTTTTGTCCATATGCAATTTGTTGGTTGTTCGTTTAATTGGTTTCGCTAAATTCCTGAAAGTAATTCAAGTATGGGGACGCAACGCAAAATCGTAAGTGTGAAACTCAATCTTAGTAAAATGATTATCGATTGAAGCTTCTGCATTCTTCTAATAGTTAGCTGTATTCATGAATAGTTTACAATATTATTTAAATTGTGTTAGTGCTGCTATCCAAACAGTGAATAAATCTGGACATAACTTTTCTACAAAATGGATAGGAGTAGTTTAGCTATCCTTTATTTGATGAACTTGCCTCACACCTTCAAAACATGTTAATGATGTAGTCCAAATGCTCATTTTGATACAGTAAATTTTGGAATCGTTCTAAGCCTAAATAAGTAATTTCATAGAAGAGTTACCATTTTAAAAAAATATTTTTATTGTCGTTTTTGCTCATTCTGGTCCACCTATCTGCAATTTTTTGGCCTGTCCTATGAGTTTTGACATATCACCCGTTCAGCGGTTGTGATAAACATCTGACAAACTAACAAAAGCTACTTAAAAAAAAAGTTTGGTCGTTTCCGATAATTTTGGTTTTCGTTCCTGGTTTGGTCTACCGTTTATCCCTTGGCCTGCGTTTAGAGCATTTCGCTATCTTCAGTCGTTTGTCTTTTAGTTTTCGTTTATTGTGAGCATACCAGAATGATCAAAAATCAAACTTCACTCCTCAGATCCTACGAAGAAATTGTACACTATTTTATAGTTTGTTCTTCTAAGTCTATGCAAATTTTTGAAGTTTAATTAGATATGATCATTCACATCATTGAGATAGGCCGTCTATATTATCTAAGTCTACTACTGATAACAAATAATAATTCACTTCCCTTTAATTTACTTACGTCCTTTGGGGCACTGAATGACTTGCTGAAGGATAAAAATGAAAGCTAATGGCTACCTAGATGTAATCTCTTCAAGCGTGGTTTTCAATAATACATGATACGCATACGTAAATATAAATAAACCTAACTTATTATTATGTATTTATTATGTATGATTCGTAGCCAAATTACTTGTGCATCTAGGGACTTCGGATGTTACCTTTCGTGGCTGAATATATTCGGTGTCACCTTGAGAAGCTTTGCTACAGCTTTCACGATCCTCGATCCCTCTTTCCATTCTCTTATTCTAAAAGGGAAAAGTGTCAGTTGTTAAAGTACCCAATTTTAATTTTGTGAAATTTATTTTCGAAGGCGTACGAGTTTTGAAACTGGATGTAAGCGTATGTGGTGTCAACGACGTCGTAGAGATCAGGGTCGGTCTGTTCTGCCAACTTTTTTGCTTTCGACCACGGCAAGCTCTGAAATATCATTTGAAAAATTATATTACAACTAATTGTATTTATTTTTCTTTAAAAGATTGTTTGCTTGTATAGATACAATATTCAGATAGTCCTTAGGCGACGATCGACAAACGTAAATTGATTTAATTTACAGCTAACACGAGATACAATTATCTGCCTCCTACATGCAGTATTTTCCTTCTATTTGTTATTTAGCTATTGAAATGTTTAAATTTTTTTTACAATGAATAGTAAGTCTTAAACATATGCCTACAATTTCGTTAGTTGTTTTCTATCTCTCGTTCAGTTCAGCCATTTTAAACATGTGGCATCCATGTCAACCTTATGCCCATGCATAGTATACATATTTTGCAGAAAGGACAAAGTTTAGGGTAAGTGTGTTAGTGCTGAGGAAAATCTGACGTGTATATGCTGAAATGTATGTAACTGACCAAGGATGCTCCTTTGAGGAACACCAGAGAATGGATTGGAGAAGTTCAAGTTCGGTAGATAACATGTAAGAAACGTTCAGATAGATAGGATATTAGGATGAGGAGATAGGATTTCCAAGAAAGAGAGGATTGTGTTTCAGCAGTTTACCCTGGCCAGACGCGAACTAATCCCTGGGTCGTCTAGAAGGGCAGAACTGCTTAAGCTCTAGGGATGTTGCGATGACCTCTACAACGTGGTGAATTTGGTGGATTCTAGAGTAATAATTCGAAAAGCCAAATTGATGGTCTGGAATAATGTTGGTTGTGGATAACATTTCTTGCAGGCCCGGCATACTAGTTTCTCAAGAAGACTGATTTTAATTTTAATTTAGAAAATAATTTCTCTCATTTGGGAATTGTTTTATTTAATCTATTTACAATTTCACTAGCCTATCATGAGCTATCATAGGACTGTGCAATCAGGAAAAGTTATTTACGTGTTATCAATCCACAATACATCAATGTCCTCGAGTTGCGGACGTCATTTTATCCACTCTTGGATAGAAGCAGTCCGGGTGGATTCCTTGACATAGTTCAATCATTGGACAGGATTTGATAGCTGAAAGGCATCCTACCCTATACCTACTACTTAATCCTAAAATCCTATCTGTCTGATTGTTACTTCAGAATTAGACAGGGCACAGGATCCCATACGTATCCTATCCAACCTGACGTCCCACAAAAGAGCATTCTTCGTCCTTTCCTTTACACGATATATACTCTTATTCTTTCAGAAAGAATCCTCTTCACTTTTACTGACAGTACAGCAGTCCTTTCCCTACATACCAACGCATTCTAAAAGTTTCAGAACTATTTTCAGTGAATCGACATACGATCCAAAAAGTGGAAAATTCAAATAATAGCAATAAAAGCAGTATAATAACTTCCTACTTTGACGGATTGCAATTTTATTTTAATAGATGTTTACCTTGATTGGACGAACTGGAAGTTCATTTGCAACAACTTCTTTTTGTCCAACTGAAAAAAAGTTCAATTTTAAAACAATTTTTTTAGAGATTTTATTGGTTATAATGAAGCATGAACGTTAGCAATTAGCATGAAAACAAAAAATGACATATAATTTATAATTTGAACGATGAAAATTTGATTTTCCTATCAGGAAAATATAAAATTTAAAACTAATTTTTCATTATGATTCGTTATTATTAATAATACAACTTGGACGATGTTTTAATTTCTTTTTTAAGAAACTTACCTTCATTCGACGACTTCTTCTCTGGGTTCACAGTCGTTTGCTGGAAAAAATTCAAACACATTAACATTCACCAGAATGAACACAAATTATGCCTTGTTGTGGAATTCCAGCAATGTCTATTGCATTGGAGACAGGAATTGTAGATTCTTAGCTGTCGAATTGAAGTTAATAAAAATACAAGGGCAAACAGAAATTCTTATGGGATATTCGACATTAAATCGCTCCCTTTAATTCATAGTTTGAAGATTCAGTCAATACAAACAAAAGATAGGTTAATAAGAATCGGCTAGAAATATTTATCGACATACTTGAAAAGTTGGACCGTACGGCGGCCCAGGCTTTTTGACATCCAGCCTCTCTCTTCTCTTGAAACCCAGGCTCTCAAGCAAATCTTCCTTCGTCATATAATTGTTCCTGCCTGAAAACGACAAATTTTAACGACAAAGTTAATAAAAAAATCAAAATTTCCCTTACTCGTTTCTGGCATGTACAGCACACCTCCTTCTGTGTATACGGTGCTTGGATTTTTTTCATTCTGATAATAATCTGTACAGCACAAAAATATACATTTAAATAAATTATAAATTGTACTTTTTTTGTTAGTTAAAAAGGAGCTTAAAAATATACTATCAGTGATTGACCTCAAGAAGCTCTGGACGAAGAATGCTTGCCGTTTGTCTTGAGCAATTTTTTTGTAGACATTTGCATTTATAACAGAACAAAAATATCAAAAATGTTTGTAAGGATTTACTCAAACTTTTCAATTTTTTCTCCAAAAGTCGGCCTAATATGATATTAGCATAATGACGAACGAGAGCCTTTGAAAAATTATAAGTTTACACAATCCGTCTTTGAAGTTTGGAGAGTTTGTAAGTTTAAACATTCCAGCGTGATGGGAAATGGTAAAGTTTTAATGACGTGACATGTACGCAGGTGTTGGCATTCTAACAAAACTTTGAATCCTGTAATGTTCCCATTAGAGGCAAATTTTCCGAAACGTAACGCCTCATTTTTGTTCTTTTGATTTGGTTTTTCAAGTCAATATAAAATGACAATGAATTAATAGTTTCACTTACCCTGTGCTCGAATAAATCCCAGATCTTCTTCTTTATCAATGTCAGGGACTATCTCTTGAAAAAAGCCCCCTTCTATCGGATCTGAGTCTGGAAATTGAAAGGAAAAAAACGTTCTTAAATGGAATTGAATAACTCAATTGTTCATTTAGAGCGAGGCAACGGATTTCAAACCCTCTCCAAGCTCAGAACCATTCCAAATAGATAATGTACTTCTCGCAGAAGTTCGAAACCCCTTAGCTTGCCAAATTAAACCGAGGTAATCGTATTTGTTGAAATGAATTCAAACCTAATCGTCTTCAATGGCTGGAAGGTTGATAGTTAAATCTAACACTGCTGAAATTATCCAACTGAGGACTGACATTTCACGGTTAATCTTAACAAATACAATTATAGGAAAAAATCTCTGATTTATAATTTTCAATATATAATGTTAATCATGCCATTTTTGACAAACAGGAATCCAAAGAAAATCCCACGTAGAGGCTTCTGGGTAGATTTGCAAAAGGTGCGCGCTACCAAAAGGGTAGTCATTAATCTGACAGTAGTCGGGTGGTGTTGACTGATGCTGTCAGTTGATCACGAGTCAGTTACAAGAGGTTAGAGTTAGTCACTGGTCACTACCCAGGTAATGAGTTAGAAGTTGGATTTTGAATACGACAGTTGGTCCAAAAATTGAGACAACCTTTATTAGATTTTTATGAAATTAGCGAGCTTTGAAGGGGCTCTTCGGCCTACTTGAATACTTCCTTTGTGGATTTTATGCCGTTAATAAATGTTGATTTGAAATGAGAACATCTGGATTACTTTGTTGCCGGTCCAATGACACATTCAGAAGAAAAGCCAATTGTGCATCATTCTCCAGAACTAGGGTGACATTATGACTGATAAAGATTTGGTGGTAGAGAGAACTGTGAACTTTCTAGTATAATATGGTATAATAAATAATAATAAATTGTAATTAGCCAATATGGAAAAAAAATCAAATTAAAACATTTCTCTATTGACTTATGATGACTGAATAAACAGAAGTGTACATTACATGTCGGGAGAAGTCTTTTTTTATAGCTGCTTACTTGTGAAACTAATTTAGATGAGAGAGAACTAATTAGAATGAGAATATGTAAAAGTCGAAGCAACACATTTCGTGTCTTCTTTGAACGCTCGAGAAAGAAAATGTAGTAGTAGTATGTGCCACAGGAAAATAGCGCCCACATACAGCACTCAGGAGAGATGTGCAAAAGGTATTGGTAGGTCAGTGCTTCCAAAAGAGTAGTCACTGGTAGGGCAGTCACTGTTAGTAGCAAGTTAGTAAGTCTGCTGAGTTGACTCTGTTCAGTTGGTCACGATTCAGTTACACAGTTATTTCAGTTACACTCCAGGACGGTTTCGGCTAAGATACCTCCTTTGTGGATTTTAAGCAGCTAATAAACTTTGTTTTGAAATGTGAAGACCTGGATTACATTTTTATCACCCCAATGGCGGATTCAAAAGAAAAGCCATCATGACGAATGATCGACTCTCCGAGATATCCGTCTATCTCTCTGCCTCCACCATCAATCTACGATATATATATAATCGTTCCCTAGGGCTTATTGGCAATTACACTCGGAGACGTGTCTAATATTTTTCGCTTACTCTTGTTAGTGGTGAGAGAAAGGTTAAAATAACGAAACTGCTTAACTGAAGTTGGAAATTTTGTTGAATAGTGGATCAATTTGTCGAAAAATCTTACTAATTTAACACAGTCCTTGCGTTTGACAGAAACGGTTGGAGAGTTCAAAATTCAATTTACCCATCGGCGAGGATTTGGCTAATTCCCGGAAGGAATCTCAACGCTAAAATTGTTTAGTATCGACTCATGACCCCGGCAGATATTTAACACAAAATAATTCGAGTCTAAAACATTGGCACTTTTTAATCATTTTTCAAATTCAGTTTTATACATTGAGGGACAATTTAACTCCATTTATTTAGTTTAAAATTAAATCTATTATTCTCCACAATGGTTACAGGTTATTAGTCGCTATCGTTGTCAAAATAAACAGTAAATAATGATTTGTTTACTTCCTTTATTTATTTTTGTGCTGATTAAACTCAGTACTAGGGTGGTCGGAGTATCAAGTAAATTGTGCATTGCGTTCGTTGATAAAACAATAAGTGAGCGCACTGCCCAAAAATGGTTCAAAAGTATAAAAAGTACAAAGCATTACCTTTTGTTGGTGAATATACAGTTTTCGTGTACGGGAGAAGGCCATTTGATGACAGCCAATCGTACGACCTCCTGTTACCCATACAGGATTCAGTTTTCATAGCATATAACAATCCAGCCAAAAAAGTCTCCGTGAAAGCAATGTAAGGCAAATGTTTAGACCTGAGGCTTGATACCGTCGAGCAATTTATGAGGAGCCATTTGCTCAGCTTCCCCGTCTTCCCAAGGCGATGTAAGCTAGAGCAAATTGTTTCATCGTTTACATTGAACGCTCTCGTGATCTCTGTTCGACTCGAATGAAGTTTGATATCATCCCTCAATTCGTCGTCATTCAAGACGCAGACCGCGGTTCATCTTCAATCCTCTCATTCCCAGAAGGGCCTGAAAGGAGGTCCCTAGTAGCGATAAATTTTTTGTAAAAGCTAATTTACGTAACTTGTTGTATTTTTTGCCTTTGATATCATGTATTTCAAGGTTATTGCATACATAAAAAATTAATTTATAGTATCGTATTTATTGATATTTGATATAAAAATACACAAAAATGAAAAAATACTTCTAGAAAATTAAGCAAAAAAATTGTTTTAAAAACTTTAACACCCTTAAATATGAATTTTTTACTTGCTATAAAAATGATTGAGTTGGACCACCTGGGGACATTCTTTTTTATTGTATTTATGCTATGGTTCACTACCTTTCGAAACCTCCAGTGACTCTTTGAGCTTATATCAACAACCTTTGGTGTTAATATTATTATAAGTGAGATTTATTATTTTCTTCTTCTATAAATGATTATTATATTTCAATAGATTTTATGTATTTGCTCGACTTCAGGTTGATTCTTTTCGTGGTTTTGGAAAGTAGTTCAAAAAATTTTTTAGCAAGAAACAAAGTTGATATTCGTTTTCTGCCCCTCAAAAAACCGCTGAATACAAATTTGTGGGAAAATCACAAAAACTCTTCCGCTGATCCTCGTGAAACTTTACAGGGGGTTGTGTACCCTATAAACTACTCGTAATTGCACAACTTTTTCCTCTGTAAATAAGTTACAATTGAAGGGTTTTGTTGACTTCATCCTTATTTTTTTCACTTATGGCATGAGAATCTTGTAAACAAATTAAAAGAAGAGAAATTAAGCTTTTTTTAACGGTTATGATAACGTTGAATTTGGATGAAATCTACAAGTGTTATGAATTTTTCTTTAGAATAGGGAACATTGGTGAAAAAAAGATGCCCCCGAAGAGCATTCAGCCAAACAATTAATATTTTAATTGTCGAATTTAAGGGTTTCGTGGTTTTTGCAAATTTTATATGTCAAACCTCATTTAATCTAATGTTGCATATTATTTTCTTATACTACGTAAACGAACACACACAAAGATTCGACTGATATGCAATATTGTTGTAATACAAGCATACCAAACACCGAAGAAATATTTTAAACAAATTATTTAGTCTAATTCGACTTAGTACCACAAAAACAGTTTAATTAAAATTGGGGATCCCACGTCCGTAGCCACCCCTTGTTTAGTGGAAAGGGTGTTCTTTCGTAAATTTAAGACATGATTCTTGTAGAATATACTTAAAAATTGGAAAATTAATAATAATAACATTGCTGGCTGAATAAAATTAACAAAAAAAGACATATTATCACAGTTTTTTAAATTGTTAATACTATTGTTTATATACTTGTAACATAACGCTTTTGCGCTTCGACCTCGTGTAAATCTTGTTCGATTTTGGTCGTGCTTTTGAGAAAATCTGTTTTCACTTAGAAATTAATCTTGTTTGACGCTTTATCCCGTTGGAACCTCCTTTTTCAGATTTATGGTCCTATTACGTCTAGTTGTAAAGGTCGTTATTTTTAATAGGGCCCACTTTTAAACCTGGCACGGTTGATATGTATTGGCCACGTTAAATTTATTTATTTTAAATGTAAATATAGAGCTTTATGCTCCCTTACATGTAGTTATATTAGAAATAAATTAAGTTTTATAAACATAATAATACAATAATAACAGCAATGATAATAATAAAACCTATAATAAAATATACAAAACAGTAATGACAATAATATATTTTTAAAAATATTAATTATTGTTAATATGAAACTACATTATCAATAAAAGCAGAAAGTGAATAAAAGGAAACGGGAAAAAGAAAGGGAAGAGGGGAGAAAAGGAGATGGATGATTCGTATCGTTCTTAAACACTCAGGTGCCACGGAAAATAGTTGATACATATTGAGAACATTAATTTAATTTAATTTTAAATGTATATATATTAAAACTCTAAGTTTAGAAGTGTTTAGAATGTTAAGGTTGCTGAAGGCATTAGTATAGGGTGAAATATGATCCTTTGGTTTAAGATCAGTATCTAATGATAAGCAAATTGAGAGTGTAAGGAAAGTGAAAAAATAGCTCTACAGTAAGAGAATAATGGAATTATTAGGGATTTAATATCGAGAACTCTAGTTTTCTGTGGAGGGAAAAAGTTGAGGCGGTGAAGAGAATGGAGGCTTGAGTAGAGCTGACATGGTCATGCCATTAAGCTCAGAGTAAAAAATCATCCCGAGATTTTTAACTTTAGGACAAAAATTAATAGGGAGCCAATGTTATGAGGAATAAATAGGGACTGGGATTTGTTAGGGATTAAAAGAATGCCGTTGGAGCAAGATCACGGTTGAGCGTAGAGATAGCTTCAGAGATATTTCTTGTAGGACGTTGAATGTAAAGCTGAGTGTCATCAGTTTAAAAATGAAATTGGGAGAAATTAAGAACTAATAGAAAATCATTTAGAAACATGGAAAAGAGTAAAGGGCCAAGAATAGAGCCTTGGGGTACACCAGCTGAAACTGAGAGAGAAAATGAGATACAATTTGAAGCTTTACCTCTCTGAGTTCTGTCAGGCAGATCGGAGCAAATGATATTTGTAGCAGTAGAAGAAAAACCAAAAAGGCGCGTCAGTATCCAAATAAACAAATTATGATTTACGGAACCAAATGCATTGGAAAATCAAGTAGAACAGTAATAGTACACTTTTTATCACCAATGTCTAGGCGAATATCATCTGAGATTTTGAGAAGGGCATAACTATGAACTTTTCTGAATACACATTGAAAAGGGATATAAGGGCATGGGAGTCAATAAATAAGGATATTTGTTTAAACGAAATCTCAAATGTTTTGGATAGTGATGGAAGAATACTAATAGGACGTTAGTCAGTAGCAAGGGTGGGTTTAGGTTTCTTGAGTAATACAACTATTAGTGCTTCCTTCCAGGCTCAAGGAAAACAGGATGAGGTGAGAGAGAAGTTCAAAATGTGGGTTATGTATTTTAAAGTAACAGGAGGTGAAAAAATAATGGGTTTAATGTGAGTAAGATCCGAGGCTTCGGAGCCTGTAATAGATTTAATTGAAAGTATGGCTTCTAAAACATTTTCACGAGTATTATTTGAAATACTAAAAATTTACGGTGTACTAGATGAGGAGGAAATGGACTTTTACTTTGGAGGGAAGAGAACATGGAATCAAAACACGAGTTTAATTCATTAACATCGGGGCATGAACGAAAACTGTCGACATTGTTTTTGAGTCCAAGTTTTCTAATGTTGTTTCAAAGTGACTTAGGCGATAGATTTGCGGACTAGAATTCTCGCGTTATTCGTTAGTATGTTAAACCTTCGTAGGTCGAACGGATTCCTGGTGAATTTCCAGTTGTTGAAGATTAAATCACGATATTTAAAAGGAGTTTAATTGTGTGAGAAAACCAAGGCGTAAGTGACGATAGCCCAAGTGGTAGAGCAGCGGTCTATTTAGCCGAAGGTCCTGGGTTCTAATCCCGCTCGTGACACTAATTTTTTCATTTCAACCAATACCTTACATAAAGATTTCTTAATTGAAAAAAGTTATTTGGTCAATCGGACCACGAAATATAATGGATTTAATAAAAAGGAAATTATTATTTAGGATGGTTAATATTTCATTAACATTTGTGTAATTGAAACTGGGATCCCAATCTGGAACGGGATCCAATGACTGATTGAGATGAAATATAGGGTAATTTACGCCATTCGATGTACCGAGGATTAAACATAAAGGATGTAAAATAAATAAAACTGTTACAAAGAGCATTTTATGAGCAGAAACGTATCTCTTAATTTTATTTTTATTTATCTCTTGTGAAGAATATAACTCGAACAATTTATACTTGTGCGCATAAAATAATTAAAATTTTAATAATTCACGCACAAAACGACACTCTTTTTTACAAAAAAGCATTTATGCGAATCGAAGGAAGGTGGTACAACCTTAGGATATATTTAGTCTCACAGGGGGTTAAATCGATTGGAGAAGGTCCATTCCGAAAATAACCTCTTACAAACTTTCACCCACAGGAAATTACATAATTTATCTATAAAATGTTTAAATTAAAATGTTTTTCTCGCGGAAAATCTCACTCTTCAATAGTTTTGAAATTTATATAATTTTTTTAGGTTCTGTTATTAAGAGGTAGAACAAAAATTATTATTAATCTATTAACTTGCCAATATATTAAAAAACTATATTTTGACAATAAAAGAAAATTGTTTTAAACTATTATTAATTATTTAAACTATTAATGTATTAATATAATCTATTAATAAAGTTTAATATTTAAAATATTACATTGTGGGTGATCCACTGTCAAAAGCCATCTTTCAGCTTGATTCATGCAGGTACCAACTCGTTGGTATGGATGTCAAAAACAAACAAACTTAAAATCTCACTAAAAAAATGAAATTTGTATAATTTCTTTAGGTTCTGTTATTAAGAGGTAGAATAAAAATTATTATTAATCTATTAACTTGCCCAATAGATAAAAAATTACATTTTAACAATTACAACATAGTTTTAACCAATTAAATAGTATACATATATTAATAAAGTTTAATATTTAAAATATTAAATTTTGTGTCATCTCGTTGGTATGGATGTAAAACAAAAATCCCCCGGGCAAAGTACGATATGTCGACTAAATGATAGGCGTCTCAGCGATTTGGTGTCTTGAAGAAATGTTTCGTTGGTTTCTAAGAATCTGTAGTAACAAACTTTTTACGGTTAGGTAAAGATCAAAGAAGCAGCAAAATGAAATCACGAAAAGAGCGAATATTGTCATTGGTAGATGTAAACGGATTTGTGGGAAAAGCTGTGAACTAAGTTCAAAAATATGGTGACAAAGCGGTTGTTAGACCTATGATAGCTACGAAGCGATTTGGTGAACGAAGAAATACAGCTAAGGGTGGTCAGGATTCTCAGTACTGCGCTAAGAGCAGTTGCTTGGACATTACTGGGGTAATGAGAACGACCCCCCACTGGAAGTCCTTCTGAATCTACCACCACTATACTTCTTCATCCAGGAAGGAGTTAGTGCCACAATTCACAGGCTGATGTAGGGACAATCTCCAATAACTTACTTGTATAACAAGGAGCACTAAAGGCTTCAGGAGGCGCTTCAGGTAGATAAGGTTCTGGGGATGCCTTGGATGCATGGTACTAAAGTCTAAATTAAGAGCAGATTGGAAAAAGGGATCCCTCTTAATGCCGACTATATCTGGTATAGATGCCTCTAACCGAGTCTAACCAATGGGTCAGTAGCTGGTACCTATGGAAATAATCCAAGTCTTAAGCAATTTACCACCGTCTTTAAAGTATGTGGCAATTGAGCACTATATCAAGGAAATTAAAAGGCAAGGTATTGCTAACCAAAGAATAATCATCTACTCGTTTAACTAAGATCAACTACCTCATCGTAGTAAAATCCAAAGCCGTTGGACTGCATCAGAGCCCTTCAAACTAAGGCGACAAAGAAAATAATCCCCCTTCTCTCCGTTTGAAAAGAGATGATAAGAAGGGAAAGGTTAGTGTTGTGCTGACCAGGCCAAGGAAAACAACTGCCTCCAACAAAGCCCTTTTTTCCCTGGTGGAAATACGCAGCGATCCTTACAAGGGATTCGCTACCGTTCAGGGAGGAATTCTACCTCCAGGAGAAAAACCTTCATTCGGTTTTGATTTTTGGTGAATAGTAACAAATAAGAATTTTTCTGTTATGTGCTTTGATGCCACTGCGAATTTGCCTTTTTTATTTTCAGCGACGCTTATGTTTTTTTGTATTTACCTTTAATAATACGTGGCATATACATTTCTCCGTGTAATTCAAATTTGCACGTACTGTTTATTTTTTCTGTACCCCCCTTTCAATTATTGGATATCCGTAGAAAAGCATCCACAGACTCCGAGAGAGCGGGTAAGGTGAAGGAAGATACACCTATTTCCTTTCCTCCACTCAATTACGTAACAAGACATTGCGGATAACAAATTAACCTAGTCTGGATAACAGATCACCCAGGGTTGTTGAACAAAGAAGTGACCAATGATTTTGTCAAGAAAAAAAATCGATAGGGGTACCTATTGGCCCTGGACCCTTTTGCGGCATATCAATCTACCAAACATGTAGGTTAATCAGGCAATGGATTATGAATAAGTCCTCCGGAATAAGTTAATCCAAGGTTCATTGAAGAAACAAACAGAAATGCTAAAACTGAGACGTGTTATTATTACAACAATTCATAATAGTTGAACTGCTGCAGACTCCGAAGGCATATGGAGAGGAAATGTCCGGGCTTAGGGATACACGCTGAGTCCTTATCACAATTTTGGGATTGATAAAAAGCCTTAATTTTAATGAGGAGTTATAGATAATAATAGAGATATTCAATATATGCTAATACTGGTCGCGTTGAGTAGGTCGTAAGGAGGTCGACTTAACCTTTAACCTTTACCTTAATCTGAAGAACGCTTTGAATATTTCTTGTGCATTCTTTCTGTTTTAGTAAAGTTCAAAGTTCATAGAACATCCACTGTAGTTGCTACGCTGTGAGTAGATTTCTTGGGCGTATGTTGATGCAGTATCAGTCCACTGCTTTTTATCACTTTCTCGTGTAGATGGTGGCTTTAAAACACTACACACTCTCTTGCAAGAAGGGATGTGGATCTCCAGATTGCTCTAGAAAGTATTCATGGTTTCCCTGAGCCCTTCATTCTTTCTAAAGAGATATTTCCACTATTATATTTTTCAAACCAATGCCGCAGGTGCATTAGTCGAGAATATCTTCAGGACATTCAGTTTCCCTAATTTCACGAGCCGCTTTAGTATTTGTACATTTTTTCGAGCTAATAATATCTATGATACTTTTATCGTAATCATTCGACAGAATTAGTTGTGGCACTATTGCCCCTATTCTCTATTGAGTCAGCTGATAAACAAACGTCCATAATCCTGTAAGGATATATATTTACCGTCCTTAGCATTTATAAAACCATCATTTTTTTATTAACACTACTCGGTTATAGTTTGAAATGGCACTCACCATCTGGCAGGTCTTTGAGCTCGAAGCCGGATCTAAAGTGCGCCGGTGTGTTGTACAGGGTCGAGAAATGGTTCCATTTTTGCTCAGGAGGAAGTGACCTCCGTACGACCCCGGCTAGAGGTTCTTCTTCCTCGTTCTTCCCAAGCTCATCGACTAAAAAAACCACATTGAAGATTTTTTAGTTTTACGAAGAAATATTCACATAAACTTACACGACGTAGGCTGCTGCTTCGGAGGAAAGTAGACTTCATCCGCGAAATCCGATCTTGGGTTCTCCTCGCTGGGCGTGTACTTGATAAATGCGACGTTCACTGGTGAAGGCTGAAAAGTAAAATTCAAAGACGTTTTTTATCACCAAATCTATACTGACAGGTAAAAAATGTGGACACACTTCATATTTTTAATTGTATCTTAGACAATCCTCCATCGATTATCTCACAGAAATACATGATCCGTTTTAAAGAATTAGAGATTAATAAAACCCAGAGAAAATCTCTCACTTGTGCTTACAATTGGATTTTGTAAATAATCTTTGATTAGTCAATCTCTTCTTGTTGGTTTTATCGGTAAAGTTTCTTTCCAACGTTCCGGTTGTTTTTTTTTTCAACTTGTACCATTTTTAAGATTGAATTTTGTTTGAATGATGGTTTGGAGTGATACAGATGGGCTGGAATTGTTTTTTAGTTTTAGTTGTTTGCATTGGTGGAAGATGGAAGAAGCCAAGCGTATGAAACCAGGGTGTTTAACATTCCCAGAACGACTGTCCGAAGGGTCTTCCATCGCTCTCAAGATTCTAAAGGTAGCTTAAGAAGGCATGGGTCACCAGAGAGATGATCGTTTTATTGTTTCGAATATAATCGACATTCTACCGCTGTTGAGATTAAACGTCTCCATCAAGTTAAAAATGTTAATATCAATTTACGCACTGTATACGCGAAGTCATCCGAAAGCTGGATTATGTGCTTGAAGGCCACTGTTCAAGATTTTTTGTCAAAGCAGATAACAGCTTGTTTAAGTTTCTCCAGAAATCACATCAATTGGTCTGAGCTAGATTTTTTTTTGATACCAGGGACTGGAGGAGTTCCCTCCTGAGCACTTCAGCTGAGCTGTTCAGCTTATTGTACTTTATCCCTGGATCCATGTTTTGGGGGAGGGCTCGCAACACAATGTGAACTTGAGCCCCCGTTATACCGGTGCTCTTCCATCGAAGAAACTCATTTTTGAATGGGGTTGGGACCAAATTCAGGGTCGCTGAGATCCTATCCAGCCCCTTCCATTGATGAGTGCCGTGTCAATTTCTTTCAATTGCGGCCACCGGTCCCGTTAGGCGTCAGAAAAAGTCCAGAGGCGACGGTGGGGATCGAACCGCGGGATCTACCAACCGAGAGTCTGACGCCTTAACCACTCGGCTACCGCGGCCCCCGGGTTCGAATGCAGGGCCGATGGTTTCGAACCCGGGACCTTTATCTTACAGTGATGAGCGCCGTGTGAAGCCTAAATCGCTGCGGCCACCGACGCCCCTGGTTTTATTTTTATGGTTTAGCTAGGATCGTAGGTGACTATTTCGGACATTCAATGTTTGGAATGGGCAGCATGTAGTCGAACCCTATCGAACCATCCCTAACCTTTAAGACGAGTTGTCAAAGTGGGTAAAAAGTCGCTCAGTGGTTCCAGATAATTTGAAGGAATTAAGAATGGCGCTGTTGGAGGAGTAAAATATTCGGCAGCACTACATTCAAAACTTCATAAAATAGAAGCCATGTCAAATGCAAGCGCTGATCCAACGGAAGAGGAGGAATACTCCGTACAGAAATGAATGTTTTCTTCATTAAATTCACTAGTTTTCGTGGTCCGCTTGACCAATTAATATCTTTCAATTAATTAAGGTTTTTAGTTGGGATAAAAAAGTCAGTGTCACGAGCGGGATTCGAACCCACGATCTTCGTCTAGATACGCCGCTGCTCTTCCACTTGAACTATCGTGACCTCGATCCGATCGAATTTAATTGAAAAATGCTAAAAAGGAGGGAAAATTCAAATGGTGGGGTTGAGATGGGAAGTTGGTGTCCGAGAGGATCGAATAATTAAAAAAAGAAAGTTTGGGGTTTACTTAATTATAGGATGGGATCAAAGATGGAAAGGGATTATGGGCAAAAGGGCTGAAATATATCCTAGCAAACTTCCTTTGACTGAGTTCAACTTTCAGCCAAGCTTAAGGCCATGCAATCCAACTTTGTTCACAAGAGTTAATAAATGTAACGGATTTACATACATTCGGATAGCCAGGCAACTATAAAGGAACAAAATGCGTATGCTTTTAGCTCAAACTAGACTGGAATGCCTAAATTGCCTAATGGCTTTAAGAAAGAAAGGTTTTCCTTAAGGTGGGTTCCAGGACGTGAAGGTATCGACGGAAATGGGTAGGCTGACCAACTAGCCAAAAAAGAGGCAGAACTCTCACCCATGGGACCGGAACCACAACTAGCCCCACCGGAGAGTCTGCTGAAGTTGGAGCGGGAAAATGGCTTTAGAAAGAAAATTCAAGCACTGGACTAGCACACTAGGTGAACTAAGTGATTTATAAATCTCTCTAAAATGAAAGGCTAAATACATATGAATTTTGAATGTGAGGGAGCCCTTATATGGAGCACTTCGGTAAGGTAATTATTACAACAATAAAATACGTGATGAAGCACTGAGTGCTTGATTTTGGGGGACAATGCGCACTTTCCTAGTTAGAGTCAAAAATAGGTAAGATTAAAGGCACCAAAAATGTCTTCGGTTAAAATCAGGACTGCTAGATAGAAACATGACCACCGAAAGAGAGCTTAGAACATTTATTCCTTTTTCCACCGAATTTACTTTTTAATATTTTATTACTGATGTCTTTTTTTAACTTAGAAAGCACCAGTTTTGGTCGATTAATCGATTCCTGCGTTTACTTTGGTTTTGAGGGCAAATTTTATCAGATCCTGGACACCAAAAAAGTCGGTTTTTTTCAATGATCCAATTTTATTTAGGCTCGTTATGCCCATTTCTTTAATATATTATGAAATTTTCCGATTTACCGTCAATTTTCCTTTATAAAACTTCCCCTAAAACAGGGATGTAAATCATAATGCTCGGGCTTAATTTTTACCTATTTTTTTTTCACTGCAACAAATCACAGAATTTCTATTTATTTAAACGTTTTGTAAGCCAATTAGCGTGAATTCCATGATGTTAGGGATAATAAATCCGTTTACTGAAGGAAAACGTTGAAATAGTTTAAAAATTAGAGGTCAAATAAATTAGACCTCTCATCATTTTGGTATATTACGTAATGGCGGATATAACGTAGTACATAGGATTCATTTAGCCATAAAATATTGGTACTAATAAAAAACAATGTTTTCGAACAATTTTGCCTGATTGAAAAGCGTTCTTCGACGATCCGAGATTTATTAAGTAAATGTTCTTAAACATTTATTATTCAGTTCAGCGACTTCATTAAGTTCATTTGGACGTCATACCGCTGAAGATTACGTAAACAATAATACTTCCGTGGAAAATTTAATAAAGTTGAGAGTTTATTTCCTCTTTCAATAATACTGTATACCGATGATTTCTGCAGCTTTTAGAATTTTAATAATGAAAAAGGCAGAAATGGCAAAAACGAATGACAGAGGCAAGAAAATTAAATAAAGATATATTTTCAATTTATAATCATTCATGGATCGTGACTGCTTGTCCTTTGCTGTGTTTTTCTTTCCCACCCGAGGATTATCCAGTCGTTCTGATGATGTTGAACTTTACTGTGCAACCTCCGCACAAGTCCCAGGGGAACAGGTGGCAAAAACCGATCGATGGCCAAACGAATGTAACGTGTCCGGGGTAATGATCGTACATTTTACATCGGATCTGACGGGAAATCGGTAATGATGTAGTTTTATTACTACCGTTCAAAACGTGACCATATCGTGCAATAAGGCAGCAACGCTCAACCGAGAGAGAGTCCACAGGTCACCGTGCTAACACGACAAAGCGTGAAGTATATATTAGATTGAACGTTTATTGACTTTAGAAGTATATTGCTTATCTTTGTGCAATGCCAGATTGTCCCAACTAACTTTAGTGTATACCTCTCCGAGGGGAATTTTTCTGTGTGATCATTTTGGTCGGTCTATTTCTCCTGTTTGGTCTGTCAGGCTCGTTTCGGCATTTCGGGATATTGTATGTATGTTGTATATGTTTATATTTATATAGGTAATGATAAATAAAAGAGGTTGAACATATACAGGGAGGTCCCAAAATTTCCGGTCAGACGGATTTTTCATTAAATAAACTGGAGAAAACGGATATACGATGTCCTGTGAACAGACGTCTTACGACTTCTGGTAAAGTAGGTCAATCTTTTGTAGCCTTTAAATACGAATTTTTATGGCAAAAATATACATTTTTGAGCTTGATTACCCCGGGGCAATTTTTTCTCCGGTGTCTTTGTAATACTTAAATTCATAACTAACGGTTGGTAAGTTGTGGTTTGTTCTCCTTAGAGCATAAGCAACAATGAATTAATTGGTCAAGCGAACCACGAAAATAGGGAATTTAATAAGTAACAATGTTTGGTTTTATGTGTAAAATAATATAATGAACGAGAAAATAAGAATGAAATCAACAAAAACTACTCAAACGTTTTATTTTATAAACGATGTCCCGGCTGAATTTCTCTGAACCAATGACGCCAAAAAAAGTACATGTTTAATATTTTTTGGTCTAGTTTCAATTTTTACCTTTTTTTGGAGAAAAATTATTCAGGGTATCTGAGGCCCAGTTCAACTTCAAAATTTCAAATACGACCCTATTACATCCGGACACATAATTTTAGAGAATTTTTTCAGCTAAAATGTTGCAATCGGATTTTAAATTTGTCAAAAAATGACAAAGTTATGAAAAATTCAATCGGGCCATCTAAAAAGGACAACCCCTATATAAATAATATAATTTAGTTTTTAATGCTCTAAATTTCTGCAATGCTTCCTTCGAATAATGTGTTGTTTCAATTATCAATACTTTTGGGATTTTCTTAAGAAGAACGAACAATTTAAATTTTTAAAAAACAAATATCAATTTTGTGTCTTGTTAAAAAAATATTTTAACCTATTTTACACAAATTTTACATCTCTGGCTAACAAATTATTTATTTCAATATCCCATACTATGACTAGCTAGCAATTACAATTTTTTTTTCAAACCGGCAGGATATTTTAACGCGAGGATTCCCATCACAATAACAATAAATTTATTACTTAGCTCTTGGTTTAGAACATTAAAATACATAACTGTACATGGAAAAAAATACGTGTAATAATTTCAGGGCCAAAATGTTTTCTTACTAAAACAATTCGTAATTATTCGTGTTAAAGGGTGCATAAAATGAAAGCGAAATGTTAACAAAAGAAGCTTTTCTGATCTGCTGTACGATCATTGTTGTTTGGTTTGTGTAATATTTTATAAGTCTAATCTCATTTAATATAAACCTGCATATTGTTTTCTTACCCTACGTAAAATATGAAATCGACTGTTATCTAGGGTGTCCCGTGAACAGACGTCAATACTTCAGGAGGTTATTTTATATGCCAAATTGGACTGAAAAGTCCCATTGTCCAAAGTCCGATTCTCAATTCTTCTCGAGATAGATAGAAATCTTCTTTCACTATTCACATTAACCTTTCACAACTTAATTCGCTAATTAAGGCATCTCGTAAAATCTTAATACTATTGTAAATTTGATTACACTAATGGAAAAAGCATTGAAAAACTTTTTCTTTATTTATAACTTTCAGGGAAAACAATACTAAAGTACTTAGAAGATAAAATTTTACATTTTATAAAGTTCTTGTCTAAACTTTCAGTAAGATTTTCTTGGTTCTGTATATACTGCGGGATGTGGAGCTTAAGTTGCTCCTACTTATGAGCTGAAAAATATACTTAATTTCTCACAGAGGTCAGCTATTAAGAAAATATAAAATTAACGTAATTTAGCATAAAACTTATAAGTTATAGTTACAATCGGTTTCTATTAAAAAATAATATAAAAAAATAAAATTTAATATAAGAAAAACAAAAATCTTTAACAAATTTTTTTACGAGGGTATATACACCACGAGCTTATATGAACCCTTGGGATACCAGTGTTTTGAAATGATGGAATACGAGACCGAAAAAAGTTAGAGTAGAAATGAGGGATAAAATAAATTTAGATCAACTTGGTATGCCATGTGGTGGCGGATAAACATAACTTTCTCCTGAATAGTGTAAATTTTGAACTAAGTGTTTGCCACTGTTAAGCAATTATTTTTAATTAACTAAAATTAAGATAATTTTACCAGATTCTATTTAAACAGATGGTTACATTGTTTTTCCTATGGTGGGTTGAAAAATGCACGAGCCTGTATATTTATTTATTACTAAAGGAATATTTTATTTGATATGTAGATATTCATTTATCATACATATCGTATATAGCAAACTAATTTCTTTTGCCTGTAGAAATTAGGGTTATTTCGGGCTATCTCCTCTACATTATTGTAAAGGACATAATAAGACAAAGGCATGGAAGACATAATAAAAGAATAATTAATCGTAGGTTTAAATAAAAAGCCTTACCTTCCTACTTTAACTAGTTAGGGCGTGAGGAAGGCGTAATTGCAAGACCCTGTTTCGAACCAAAATGTTTGCTAATTGGAGGGTGTTCGGGTCTTGGTCACAGTAGCAGTACTGGGTTCGAATCACGGCATAACTCGTGGCTTTTTAATTTAAAATAATATGAAAAAAGTATAGAAATGAGGTACTGACTCTTTGACCGCGAAATCCACCGGGTAGGTTGACATTAAGTCCTCCTGTATGCCAGAAATTATTTTAACAAAAGTTGGGTAAGGATGATGGTGTGGACCGTTGACAGTCTTGTAGGTTTCATGGATATCTTTATCCTATGGGATAATTAGCCTTGGATTGAATTCTCCACCTTACTAGATAGAGTTACTTAACTTTTTTTGAGTTTTTTAGTTAATTGGCGAGGGACCTCCTCGCTTAAGATACGGCGGGTGATGGATGAGGAAAAATGAGTCATACCAGACATCTTAATTTGCTTTTTTAACATGTACTTACGCATTGTACATTAGCCAGTGAGGGCAAGTGGAAAAATTTAGGGTTCTTTATGCTCGGAACGTACTCTCAAAACGTTTGCAAATCATGTGAATCCTTGGATAATTATTTCCTCAATGGACTGAACTTGTAGTTTATTTGATTTATCAGTATGATTATTTTAGTATTGGTTTTCCTGCCCTTGACAAATCTAACATACAACATTTGTTGCTTACAAACAAAAATAACTCACTGATTTTTCAGAATCTTTAGTATCTTGTGCGTCTTCTAGGTCTTTTTCTTTCAGCCTGTCGCATATGGCCCTTTCAAAGTCATTTCTGAAATTGAGAGAAAACCGTGAGATTTGTTGTGGATCATAGTCCGTTTTGATTAGATTTACCCGGTTCGAAAGGAATACAGCAAAGCATGGAGGACGCACTGGGTGTGCATATGACTCCATTTGTAGCCCGTTTGCAACAACTTTTCCAATTCGTATTCCAACGTGTCTAGATCTTCCTTGTCTAGTTCGTGCCTGAAAAATAATTAATATTTAAAAACATGATCTAACTTTATTATAAAAATTGCATTATGTTTGAAATGTCTGGAGGTTTTCTTTTATACAATGTTCTTACCTGTATAAACTTTCTGGGTCCGCGGTGTCTAGTCTGTTGATGCATTTTCCAAAAGCTCCGTCTGAAATAAAATGCATACAGGTTTAAATTTTTTTATACAGAGATTTGCTTTTTTTGTACATTAAAAGTGTTTTGGAGCTATTTGATAAATTATATTAATTTAATATATGTTTAGTGGTCAATTGAACAAGTTACTTCTTTCAATTAATTATTCTTTTTATGTAAGGTTTTGGTTGAGATAAAAAGTCAGTGTCCCGAGCGGGATTCGAACCCACGATCTTCGGCTAAATACGCCGCTGCTCTACCACTTAAGGAATCATGACTTCGATCCTCTCGACATTTGAAAATGGCAAAAAGTGTGAAAATTCGAACGGTTGTAGGTTGAGATGGAGAGTTGGTGTCCGAGAGAATCTAGATCTGGATGCTTTATGTAAAAAAATAAGGGTTGAGTTAGCAAATGTCGTCATTCATTGTAACCAAATGTGAGAATAATGGACAATGAACGACACAAATTGGTGTTCTGGAAAATAAATTTTTCCCCGGCTTGGCAGCCTCATTCAGCTTCCAGTCTAATTCAACACACTTTACTTATTTAGAGCTCCTGGAATGGAGGAAACATCCTGAAGGAACCAAGTGTTTTTTCATCTTTAAACTCATTTCCGATTCCGATCTCTGGTAAAAATTAAAAAAGATTTTTTAAAGAGTATTTGGCACTATGAAACCGAAGGATTTTCTTCATAAATTTCAAAACAGTATTACAAGTTTAATAAATAATTTATTGGTTTAGTATTGGATGAAGGCGAGTGGTGAAACGAAAAGTGGTTTCTGCCTGCCTAAATATAGAGTGGGGACTTAATTAACTTTTTATTTTTACGACCGTTATATCACCACGGAACCGCCACGTAACACAAAATATCTCTCGGCAAATTTTATTTATGAACTAATGTTTTTGTTTACAACGGTAAGCAACGGACGTTGGATGTGCAAATATTTCAAGACTTTTGAGTGGACTGGTGTTCAAAAAACTACAGTCATCTCTATATATCTTTCTTCCATTTCCATCGTTCACTGAAACCTCCTCTTTCCAACTATCTAGCGCTTTCTTTTACTTTTGCTCTCTCCATCGTTCTTTCCGATTACTGATTTTTATAAGCTCAAATCTGTACATGTATATACACATAGTTGATCCACTTCCAGCAGACCACCGTCAATTCCAGCTTTTGTAATTCACAATAAATTACAGGGCCATCACCGCAATCACCACCCGGTGGTGGCAGTCCGGGGTCAGACCTCGTCTTGTCCGTCCAGCCGAAAAGGTTGGGCTCTGGATGCTGTCAGCTGATAGGTTATTTCAGCAACCAACGCATTTTCTAAATCCATTCACACTCTCTCTCACTCTTAAATACATTTTTACTTATTTACATACCATTCACTTAGGTTTGTGGAGAACTAGATATTTCTCCATCACCCTTTACACCACGAAGATAAGGGACAGATATACGCGGGCTTTGGCCCAAAAGTAAGTCCCCGTGTGTCAACCTTTCTTGGCCTATAATTAATCGGGTGAGTATGACCCTTTTTCTACTGGTCAGGTCTCTTGATACAGGAGAACTGTGCCGATACAGCCCACCGACGCTGCCAGTTTATTTTAATCGTATTTTTAACAGAGAGGGCCAATTGCGGAGGTTAAGTCCCTTAGCGGCCTCTTCCGCCTTTTCGTTACCTTTTGTTCTATTTGTCCCTGTACTCAGAACCACCGTTTTCCTTAGACGCTCCAGTTTGTGGTATCTTTCCAACAAGAGCACGATGCTGAGGGAATCGGTGCGTGTGCACTGTTCTCTCTCCTTCTCTTCTTCTTCCTCCTGCTCTTTATTTCTCACCCTCTCTGAATATTTTGTTATTCCCCACTTTTTCTATACTATTCTTTTCTCCCCTGAATGTATGAATGTATGTATTGAATTTACGTGTCACTGATCTATGATAATTACAATATTTATCGTTTACGCGAATTTCACCTTCCTTACTAAATTAATTAACACCTCATTAGTCAAATTAATCAATTAATTTAAATGTCTCATTTAAGAAAAAAGAGGGAGTGCTTGCTAAAGAAGTGCTTAATTAAAAGCAATTAAATTCTGTGCTTCTATACAATTCCAATCACACTTGTCGGATACAAGCATTGACTTTAGACTGTTACAAATCTCGTCTTTTTTAGCAATATATTCAGTCCGTCATTTTTAGGGCATGTAAAAGGCATGATTATAAGTGGTAGGTTTCGATGATTCTGGATCGTACATTTATCTCTGGTTTCCATTTTCTATTAAATATTTTTTTGTCCCTAGAAACACAATAAACCATGCTCGTTTTGTCATTTTTCGTTGCTACGGATTGATCGAGAAAAGTTTAATCCCGTCTCTTCTCCAGGAGACGCTCCAGCGTTCATTTTAAATTAAAGCTTAGCTCTTTGGGCTCGCTGACTAATTAAATTTCCGAAGAAGCCAGTCGGAAAACTGCCCTCTGGAAACTTGACTTCTCGTTAAGCCTAACATCGTTACGCACAGGAAAAACGGCCCAGATCTATTTCTCCCCGACGTACAGCTCTAGAAAAATAACTAGTAAATAATTAAATTAAGTGCGTTAATTTTAGACGAAAAGAGAAAGAGAAGAAACAAGTTTAAGAATGAAGGTTGATTTAAAATAAATACAGGGTATATCAACTACTATAGTCTACCCATTTAATTCGGAAAAGATTAACTTTAGCAAAACATGGTCTTGTTCAAACCCCAGGTTAATTTTGCTAGGAATCGCGTGGTCGTAACAGATTTAACATAACTTTCTCATCTAGCTGAGAAATGACACTAACTTTGTTATTTTAAATGAGAAATAAGGATCCCACATTTTTATTGTTCAATTCGATTCTAGAGCTTATTTTATGCTATGCCACTTTTACTGAAAGGAAAATTTTGATAGGATCGACCATTTCTTAGTTTTGCCCGACGAAAGACGCGTGTGGGAGGAAGGCTTTTTGTTGCTGCTTTTTTAGTTTTAGGGCAAAACTCAGAAATGGTCGAACCTATCAAAATTTTCCCTTCAGTAAAAGTGGCACAAAGTAAACTCAACAATCGAATTGTACAATAAAATGTGGGATCCTTATTTAAAATAACAAAGCTAGTGTCATTTCCCTGCTAGATGAGAAAGTTATGATAAATCTGTTACCACCATGCGATTCCTAGCTAAAATTAACTTGGGATTTGTATAAGACCATTTTGTGCTAAAGTTAATCATTTCCGTATTAAATGGGTGGATTGTAGAAGTTGATACACCCTGTATAACAACATATCATCAAGCAAAAGTATGTTAATCACAATTAATCATAAAAGATAATCAATTTAATTAAATACTCGTTACTTTTGGAGTTTTGGGTATGATTATGCATAAATCAATGGATTCTCTCCCAAATATAGAAATATTTAAATATAATATAAATTAATATTAATAATAGTTATTAGTAAAAATGTATGTCACATAGACAATTAAATTTACCAAATTTAGACAAAACACATCAACAACAACAATAATAATAAGAAAAAAAGAACTTAACTAAAATCATTTGTTATGGGTGCCGCACTTAACGATTTTCCGTCGTTCGTATGAACATTAATTATTTCTCAAGTATGTTTATAGCATGCGAATACTTACATCATATGATTTCAAGCCCTTGGGAGAAAATCAAAGATATCGACCGGAAAGCTATTTCCGACAAATAAAATAAACCGTTTTCTTATATATCATGACAAACTCCTGCCGGTTTTAATATGAAATAAATTGTATATCTTTATGGGAGGTTAACGTAGAATCGACACCTTAAGAGAACTCACAGAAGAATTTAAGGACTAAATCATAATGATTTTACGGTCTTGCTTTATGATAGGCAGACCCATCGCATATGCAATTAACACGTGGTAACAAAAAATATAGCAAGGAAAGGCAAGGAAACTGCTAGAAAAAGTCCAAAAAATTGCAAGCCCAGCAACACTGGTGCCCTTAAAACAACACCCACTGCTGCAATGGAACATATCCTCAATCTGCCACCCTTACGATCAACATCACCATTCTGACCAAAAGGATGACAGCGAACAAAGAACTGAGAATTCATAGGACAGTGGAAAGAAAGCATTAACCTAATGCTGGCCATACCAAAATGTTCGACAGAGTTAGCATAATATGGCCAATACCGCCTCTTACAAATCAGAGAAAACATTAGACTTTGAAAAAAACAACATTCATTATAAAAATTAAACAAAGAACTCAGTGGAAAGAAAAACAAAACAACAAAAACCTGGATTATCAATGTTATAAGATGTATCAAAGAAAGGAAATGGTACTGGAAGGGGCTGCGTAACTTTGGGATCAACAAGGAAGGATGTTGGGGGTCGTATGGCACTTATTGATGATGGACGTTCCTTCAGGTATATGGCTATTGCTATTGGAGTTCCCTACGAAACACTGCGAGACGCCGTTAGTCGTTTTCTAATAACTGGGCCCTACTATAGAATGCCCGGTTCGGGATACCCTAGGGTAACAGACTCATAGGATAACCGGTTTTTGCACCTTACTGTTGTACAAGCGATTCATCTGCTCCAAGAAATTCGAGGTGTCCAAATTTCTGAACGCACTACTCGAAGAAGATTAAATCAGTATAGACTGATGGTTATTCGCCCATTAAAAGGACCAGAATTGACCAGAACACACATAGTTGCACGGCTCGCATTTGTTCGAGAACACAGCCTCTGGACGATTGGTCTGCCGTACTTTTTAAAGATGAGTGTAGATTTGGTCTAAGATCTCCAGATTGGAAAGAGTGTGGAGGCGAAATGAAAGGTACAAAACCTGTAATTTTTCTCAGAGCCAACCTTTTCAACGTAGCTCAGTGATGGTGCGGGCGGAAATTTCAATGGAGAGTCGCACAAAGTTGGGTGTTATTCGAGGAAGGTCATTGACGGCCATTCGCTATGTTAACGCAATTTTGGAAAATCATGCGTTACCTGTCCTCGATGAAATCAACGTCAATCCTACTCTAATGCACGATGATGCCCGTCCACATGTCTCGCGTAGTACAAACCTCCCTTCGACAGCATAAGATCAGGGTCTTAGCCTGGCCAGCCCGTTTTCCAGACTTGAACACCATCGAACATTTATGGGATAACCTCAAAAGACGAATAAGAGCACGTCCATCACTTCCTGATACACTCCACGATCTTGAAAGGTCTCTTGGTGAAGAATGGGCTAACCTTCAGCAAAGAGACATTTCCAGACTAGTAGAAAGTATGTCAAGGTGTCTTCGAGATGTAATTAAGTCAAGAGGAGGAAATACGCGATATTGAAATGTTAATTAAAAATTTCAAACAAAATTAAAACAAATTAATGTTATCTGTCCGTCTTTATTTTCATTTTTCGTTTTCTTTAGCAATTTACATTTTTTTAAACTTTTTTAGACAAAGACTCAATTATTAAACGTTAAAAACGTGAAACTTTGATTAATATATAAAAATATGTACAAATCAAGCTATATTACAAGTGGGTGGAATTTTTTGCCTGTCAGTGTATGTATGCGTACGTGAGTTGCAGAGCCTTTTTACCACTTTTGAAAGCAATTATGAATGATAATAGAGTTACAATTTAGTAGTAATTTAATAAGAATTATAGTTTCATAACTATAAAGCCAGGCTCCCCCTATGGAGAATCAAATTTTGTCAATTAAAAAACGCGAGATGCTAACAATAGCCATAGCCACTCTCTCTCTCTCTCTCTCTCTCTCTCACCACGCACCCACACACACACAGACTCTCTCTCTCTCTCTCTTTTCCCCTTTCTCACGTCCTCTCACTCCTTCTCCCTTTCACTCTTTACTTTATCTTACACACACACTCTCTCCTTTCTCCTTCTCACACTCTCACTCTCTCTGTCTGTCTGTCTGTCTGTCTCTCTCTCTCTCTCTCTCTCTCTCTCTCTCTCTCTCTCTCTCTCTCTCTCTCTCTACGCTTACTCGTAATATCTTTCGCTACCTAAATTTTGCGAGAATTTTTAATCATAAAGAAATCATTCATTCTAGTTATCTCTGCCTATTTTCCCCTTTTTCTCTTTTTTATTTAACTCTCTCGTTCTTCATGCAAGTTTATTAATTTCTTAAGCAACCGATGGATTAGGTAAATTATGATTTATCGACATTGTTTAAAGCAGAATTATCTTGCTTATGTGTTAGTTGCTGATTCCTTGTTTCTGGGGCGTTCATTGCGTTAACACTCCGGGGATTGAAATTGAATTCGGGTTATTGCGTTAGGCCCGCCTTACACGCTAGGTTTATGTTAATATTCAACATGAATCTTATCAAGGGAATATAATAAAATTACCAATGTATATACTACATTAAAATCTTTTCAAATAATTTTTTTTATTTTCAGGGACAATAATTTGTTTCGAAGGTTGTAACGGTGTGACTAATATAAAATATTATCGAATTAAACGGTGTTTTTTAAAAAATCAAATCAATTCCAAAACGAATTATCATTATTTATATGACAATAATTTAAACTTATAAGGAAAAATACAAAGATTTCTTGAACCACTCTCCTTTTTCCCTTAAGATTGGCGTCTTTGATTCTTTACGTTCCCCTTCATCTCTGAATGACACCTTGTCAATCAATTTATAACAAGCTTTAAAGGGCTTTATGCCCCTACAAAAAACTTATTTAAGCAACTCTTTTCCCAGATATTTTTAGAATCTTTGAGATATCTCTTGTGATTTTGAGATACTTTTGGCCAAAGCTGTTGTACATGTTGGAAGAACAAAGAGAAAGACATTTTATGAAGGGATTAGAGGTCTTTTTCCAGTTTTTCTTTCCTTCTGAAGTTATGTACTATCAAATCCCCGAGTAGAAAATCCCCTGGATATGACCTAATTTACCCCTGCTGTACTTCAAAACTTTCCTCGGAAGGATTGTTAATTGCAGTATGCAATATCACCCGTCTATTACTCGCTTTTCTCTCTTATAAAAGCTAAAGCTTACACACCTCCCGACCACATATCCTCCTACAGATCCACCAACCTACTCCCTGTGGTGTCCAAAGTCTTCGAAGTCAAAAAGGTTTAATTCACATTGAATGATTCTTTATTACTTAACCGGCTTTCGTACCCATCTTTCCACGATTCAATATGGTTTCAGAGAAGGTGAAAACATTTCCTCTACTCTAGAAAAAAAGGAATATTGTTTAGTTCCTGCGATAGTCTCGCACCTGGGCATCCTTTATAAAGGTTAAACGCTACAAGATATCTCTAGTAAACAGACTTGGAATGCTCACACAAAACTTAGACATCTGCGAAAATTGCTTGGGCCGACCAAACTTACCAACTGTTTTCAACAAAACAAAATGAGACCACTGTGAACATAGTGGAATTGTGGGGTGCCACCAAGCCATCCAATATCCAGTGTAACCTTCTTAGTACTAAGGCAAATTGTCGAAGCTCCTTATTACATCACTAACCCCACTCTCCGCAACGACATCAACATTCTTTTTGACCATGAATTGATTCCACTCCAATTCCAAAAGTTCCACGTTAAGCTTTGGTTCCACCCAACCTTCGTATATTGCTATGTTGTCTAGTACCGAGTGAAACAAACCATATACGTAAAAAATATGTGATGTTTTATTTATGTGGTTTTTTTTTGTAACAATAATTAATAATTTGTTGGAGACGTGAGGAACGGTCAAGAACGCTTTATTTATACTTCTAACCCTTTTTCGCAGACACAAAACCCTGTCAACTATTTGTTTGGCATTGTCGTAATATATATTTTATTTTTATGTTCAAGTTCAACACCAAAATCAGACGTGCACAATCAGACATTTGCTTCCTCATAAGTTTGAATAACTTGTTTACTTTAATACTTTGTGCATTCGTTAGTTAAGTAAGAATAAAATAAAATAGTTTCTATAAGAGTAATTATATTCTAAAAATTAGTAAGAGAATATCTGAAACTTACCGTCGAAACACCACTGTGTAGCTTCGTTACATAAGTCCTCGCTAAAAAGGCATCCTGAAAAATAAATAAACCAACTTTTTAGTTATATAAACAAAGACCAAATAAAGACATAATAAACATTGAAATATTTATACACAGGTATGGATGTAACACGGAACAAGGTAATGGGATCCAGGTGAAACCCCCGGGACATACCCTCTTCAATTTTCCATGCGGGGATCCAATTGAGCTCTGTGTATACATTATGTCAGTGACGAGTTAAAACCCCATAGAAAAAAACTTCTAGATAGCCTTGGGAGTGCCTGAGAACAGTCCAATGTCTGAGAAAAGAAAAGACGACCCTGATGGATTAACAGGGTATGTACAAGCAGAGGAAAATGAAAAATGAAAGCTAGTAAAAGAAACAGCAGAATTCATACCTATTGTATCAGCACCACTATGGTCAAAGTAGAGAAAAAACAATTGTCTAATACTATATAAAATAGGAAGGCAAGAAAACAAATATAAACTTTCCCTCTGACTGCGTGAATGGGTATAAGTTTTAAGCAGTTGGTTTAGGCACGCTGCCAAAAACTTCTGTGAGTAGAACTATCTTTTCCAAAATTATTGCCACGCTAGCAGTCCTGGGTTTGAATCCCGGCAAAGTCCTTGAATTAAGTTTAATATGATAAAAGTATTGTAAAGTCGTTGGACGGACATGCTCATTCATTTCTTCGCTTTTGGATCAACCGGTCCAGCCTTACTGTCGGTCAGAATTACTTTACTTAATTTTAATTAAAGATGACTTCGTTGAAACATAAAGCCTTTTACACTATAGATCTGGTCAGCTCTTGGTGGACCTTTCGTAAAAAATTTACTTTATAAATGTACATATTGTGCGAATAATGAAGGGGTATTCAGCAGAGAGAATGTTGTCCTGAGATTGTTCTCCTCAATCTACAAATCCTAAGGTAATAAAATAACTTCCGTACAGCTTCAAAAAAGATCCTCCAAAGTAAGTTTTAACAAGAAGTTCAGCTAGCACTTCTATTACATGGGTGACGTTATAGGTCCTTTTTAAGGATAGCGGGTCAGTTGACAAATGACTCGCGCACACTGCTTCTCCATGATGTGTGTTCTAACGTAAAGCGTACGTATTGGGAATTGTAGAAGACACATTAAAACAGGTGGTAAGGGTTTTAGGTTCATTCTTTTACCCAATTTACACTTCGGACAGACATTGGGTTCCCGATTACTCATCGTCAACAAGACAAGAGGATCTTTAACGTCCGCACCTAGCCTATACGGCCTTATCGGACGTTTTGATTCTCAAGATGAGAGCTGACGCACCTCCGCATACGACGGAAAAGTGTTACTTCGGACAGACACCACCTTAGTCACAGACTGCAGTAAATGGTCGATTTTGCTATCGTAAGACCATGAAACATACCAGATCTATTGAAACTTGCCAAATTGTATTATAATAGTAATGAATACCGAGAGGTTACATGTCTAATGGATACGTTGCAACGGTTTATCACATCAAAATGGCTACATTGTGCCTTTAGGCTATTTAGGTCTCACTTAAGACAAAACTTTACGTAACATATGGCGAATACAGACGTAAAGAGAATCAAATCACTTTCTTCCAACAGATCTGGAAATAGCAAACATCGGGCGATCTAGAATACAGTCAAAACTCAAAGAACAGTTGATATAAAAAGATGCTAATAAATCAGAATAAATTGTGAAATCCTGTTAGGAACATCTATGGACGATGGATACTTCAATCCAACTGTCCTATTATAGTGACTGTTGGAGCATCACGGTCACGTAGTCATTCGAGTTAATTCTGATTTCTCTTATTTAAAAAAAATTAAAATGTGAAAAAATTGTCCAACCAGTAATTTTACATTGATTATTATAATATAATTTTTACTGTACGATAAAGCGTCTGGAAAAGTTTGAGATCACTCAGGATTAAAAATATTCTGATGCCAAATAAATCTTTTTTTATTTAAGTGTACATCCAAAATCTATTCGAGTTTTGTCATGCAAATGTGATCGGAAATCGTGTGGTGGGTACATCTAATACCACGTTATTTCCATTTCAGACACGAATCCTCGCTCTGTGCGATTGTTATCGAAAAAGAATGACGCTAGACGTGTTTTCAGCCGGATATTAATTCATGATTTTGTTGTCGAAGAGAGCGAAATTATAGTTTGGAATAAACTGCGTCTTTAGAACAGAAATGTGGCGTATGACCTAGGACTGTTGCCCAGGGCAGTGTAGGCGTGGGCATGAATGAATTTGTATTGATTTCCCCCAGCTGTTCACTTCAGGGCATAACTCCCAGACTGCCTATCCTAGCCAAATATTTACATAATACTTACGTTCTGATCAACGTGTTAATGAGAAATAATCACAATTTTTTATTTTGAATCAAAAACAAATCTAAGTTTTGAATCTTAGTTTTAGTTTTGAAACAACTTCGGTGGAAAGCCAGTTTTGGCAATTGAGACCTATAAAAAAATCAAACTAACTTTCATCCTCTCAGGTAAAGCTGCTTAAATGAAAAGCAGCTTTTGACGTTACAGATAAACAAACACTATTCTATACATCATCAATTTAAACATAACCCCCCCCCAAAAAAAAAAAAATAATAAAAAAAATTAGGTGTTCTAAGAGCATGGTTTGCTGGTTTGCTATGAGATGCAAAAACAGAGGAAAAATACAGACTTAAAAGAATGAAAACAGCTAAAGGATTTTGAAGATAACGGATTGTTCTTTCTTTATCGGAAAACGAGTTGAATTTTAAAAAGATCTTCCACAACAAAAGTGTATAATGTATAAAGTGAATACAGTACAAAATCTTCGAGAATTGTTAACTTTCGATGTGACAGTTAAAGACAATGCGTGAAAATTAAAGGCCTGGGACTACTATTCGCGAGATGGGAGAGATCATTATGGAACTTGGTAAATTTTTGTAGAATTAACTTTTGATAATGGAATTTTAAGGTCGTTGTGAAGGGTCGTATTGAAGTCACATTCTGAGCATTTATAAATGGTCTGAGGAATTTTGACTGACAGGTTTGGAGCCGTAGGATATTGGAAGGTTTAGCCGTTCCCCACATTTCTATAACTGCCCAAATCGTGTAGTTTATGAATCTAATATCATTTAATACGATCCTGTACATTACTGTCTTATACCTAGGTAAATCAACAACAACAAATAGATTGATCAATAATAATCTTGAATATACATCCACAAAAAAAGGTCACGTTTTATAAAAATTATATAAATTGCAGACATTTTTTTTGTTCCAAGCGCCCATTGGCAAGAACGCTCGGACACTTGGGTTATATTTTGGTCAAGAATCATCGAAAAAAGCTTAATTAAAACCGGTGTCCCAAGTACATAGTCTTCACTTATAAATTAATTTCATTATATTTCATGGTCCGATTGACCAAACAACATTTTTTTAAACTAATTAATGTAAGGTATTGGTTGAAATGAAAAAGTTAGTGTCACGAGCGGGTTTCGATCCTACGACCTAAGGCTCAATACGCCGATGCTCCAAACACTTGAATTATCGTGAGTTCGATCCACTCGGACACCAACTTTCCATCTCAACCAACCTTTCGAATTTTCGATAAAAAAATAGGATAAATTTAAAAACAATTTTAACGACAATCGGAAGAAATTATTTGTTTTTTAATAAAAAATCAGACATTAAATGCACAGTGCATAGACTTAAGATTTAAAAAAAAAATGAAACTATTTTTAGGCGAGAACATATTTCACAATCGGAATGCACCAAATAGGACAAATTCAAAAGAGATATTAGTGTAAAGTTTGTATAAAATCACATTTAATAGAAAACATATTCTTCATAGAAAAGTGGACATAAATCTTTTAACTCATAACTTCAATTCTAATTTTATTGAGGGTCAGGTTGAGATGGGAAGTTAGTGTTCGAGTGGATTGAAGTCACGATAGCTCAAGTGGTAGAGCAGCGGCGTTTTTAGCCGAAGATCGTGGGTTCGAATCCCGCTCGGGATACTGACTCTTTTATCTCTACCAAAACCTTAATTAAAACCTAATAGATCTAATTTTATTTATACCATTACGAGTAGTTTATAGGATTCTCAGTAAGATTTCTTGTTTATCAGTGGAGTGATTTCGAAGTTATCGCGATTTTTGGAAAAAATCAGTAGTGAAACTAAATTTAATAAAATTTGATTAAAAGATTTACTAGTTTAGACAGGATTTTTATTATTTGTATCTTTAAGAGATAAAAGCATAAAGTAAAGCTGGGCTCGAGGAATCGTTGATTTATTGATAAGGAGTGCTTTAATTTCATTTAAAATTTAATTTAAACAGTGATCCGAGAGTGCAAACAGGGTAAAGGCCACGTTTACATTTTTAAATTCTCACCAGTCAGTAATATTTGAAGATTAAATCTCAAAAGGTCGCAGGTACATTTGCTAGTTAATGAATATTACAGAATTCTTGTGTGTCTCATGAAAATTTGCATTAATTTGACATGAAATTTAACCTAAAAAAAATCTAATAAACAATTTGAACTTTGTAACGGTGTAGAGTATAATTTTAGGTAGTTCAGTGTCTTAGGAACACAGAATGAGCATAAATAATTTACTAGTAGCGGGTTTTGCTATTTTTGTTCATTATCGATCATTTTGAAACTGCCTGTTCTTGCTGAGTTGGTATGTCAGATGCGTTTCAGCATTTTCAGCCTTTACTTACTTAGTAACTTTACTTACTATAATATTTACTTAATTCAGTCCGATATATCGGGTGGTGAAAAAAAAGACACTTCGAACATTACATGTAGGTGTTGCTATATTGCAATAACACAGTTAAACATGTAGCTTGTCAGGAAAAAAATTCTATTTGCCTGAGTCTTCGATTTTGACGAGCATTAAAGACAGGAAATTTACACCAAATCAATAAGCTTTTATCTGATGATGAACATATTTTCTACACTCGATACAACGATAATATAATTTTTTATTGATAAAATAAAGAAGAAGGCAAAGAGGGTTGATGTTT